TCAATTCCATGGCTAGTGAGATCATACTTAACATACTGTAATAAAGTCCTCCTGTTTGAAATTATGCTTATATTCAATCTATCCTTGCATATGACTTGTAAGCTTGTGATAAACAGACACAGCCACATTCTTTGCAATGGGTCTGAACTGTCAGTATAATTCTTTCCACCTGATAATTGCATTGTATTACCAATGGGTTTTTATATATATATATATATATATATATATATATATATATATATATATATATATATATATAAATGAACATATGAACCCTATTTATAAAACAGATGATTGTATTTGAGTAATAAAAAAATTACAACAGAACTCTTTCACTAAGTATTGAACATTATTACTTAATTATCACTAGTTTAATATCGAACACTTCATCAGCAGACACTTAATGTGATAGACATTAAATTCTATACTTTTACATGTTAATTGCTGGTATTTGTATTGTAGCAATTATTTGTTTAAACCTGTTTTAAATAAAATGAATAGGGGATGTGTTAAGCCTTTTTTTTTTTTTTTTTAACTTTTTTTTATTATTATTTTTTTGTCTTTTTTTTGTCTTTTTTTTTTTTTTGTCTTTTTTTTCTTGGTGTTAAGTATTAAGATCATAAAACATCTTAACTGCCACAGGTCAACGATTTAGGATTTTTTATGACCTCACTTAACAGCTATTTTTAGACTTGTTGAAAACTTAACCACTTTTCTTTTTTTTTTTTTTTTTTTTTTTTTGTTTCTACCAGGAAGTTTTAATGAATGACACGATTTTGACTTTAGTGTCAAACCAAACCAATTCTTCTGACCTACTTGATCTCCACTTGGATGTACCGCTCTTCTGCCTTGAGCCATACTAGCTTAGTGACTAAAAATCAATTCAGAATATAAGGTTTGTCATGGGGATTGTTGGGTAGCCAAATGGATTTATTAAATTAACTAAAAAAAAAAAAAATAGTGAGGTAATTTTTTAGAACCCGAATAAGTTCATATATTTTCAACAGGTGTTTGTTTAATGAAACTATATATTTGACATAGAAAAAAAAAACATTTGTTTATACAAAGCTCGAGAGCCACTCGAGGTAGTGAGTTAGTTGAAATGGCAATGAATGAGGTGTGATATAAAGGGAAGTAAAGCTTAGGAGAATAAAAAGGACAGAAGAAGATTGAACTTTGACATTGAGAAGGTCAAGATTAAAGTGTTCAGGGAAGTAACCTTTACAAGAGTCTATTCAACAAAGTAGCCATTCTGATGGAGGCAGTGATTTCCTTAGACTTGTACTAAAAAAAAGTCATCCTTATGAAAAATCTATTATATAATACTTCCACCTTTTTATAATTCTTCCTCTTCCAACTTTAAAGAAAAAAAAAAGAAAAAGTGTTTTGTAATATCTTGGAGGCCGATGTTGAGTCCTATCTATATTTGGACTCTACTTAATTCCATGTGTCCTGAGTAAGATGATAAACTATATCTGGCAGCAAGGCCTAGGTGGAACCACCTTTTAATTGCTGCTGTCCCAGGGTCCGTTCTGACTCTGGCTGGTAACACCTGTTAATGTCCCAACTATGGGCAAATAGTTACCCCACACACACACACACACACACACACCCAACTGGTGTCAAAATACTATGAAAATGTAAAAATAGGTTTTAATACCAGCAATAAATTTTTTGTGAAAAAAATTATTACCAGCAATAAAAAAAAAAAAAAATTGTCGTCATTAAATAACCCATTGTGGTTGATATACCGTAAACCAAACCTAATTCCATAAAGCTGTATTAAGTGTAAATGGGGAGGAGTTTTATATCAAATATGGTCTGGATTCTCTCAACAGTGGTGTCAGTTGAATCTAAAATCAAAACCTAGCAAACTATACAAGATCTATCAAAAAAAATATTCAGCCTTTGCTATAAGCAACCATAAAAGAAAAAAAAAATACTTGTAGCTAGTACCCTGGTTTTGCATTAACCTGTAGAACTCTGCCATATTCATAAGTATTTCATTCATTGGCTGTAATGGCCAGACAACTGCAGTAGCATCATCTTTGATTTACACTTGGTCATTTTTTTTGTTGCCATAGTAGGATATGACAACACTAACACAACATTCAACCACACTATTGTCCCATCAATTACATGCAGTGGCTGTACAAACTTTTTGCTTGATAAAGTCACCTACATACAGAGTGCTAACAGTTAAAATAATCCTCTTGTCCTCTGTCCTTTTCACATCTCAAAGCAGTCTGCAACGTCCTCCTTAGTTCAGTGTTATGATTGGCTGCCTTGTTACATTCTCTCTAATCTCATCCATGGTATTTTTTTGGGGGGTGGGGTGCTATTTTCCTGGAATCTTTTTTTTTTTTTTTTTTTTTTTTTAAATCCATATCATCCCATGAAAGGCAGTAAAGGCACTAAAACTCAAGGGGTTACTACTGGGTGAGGAAGAATTAGGAATGGAAACATTAATGAAGGGAGTAATCAGGACAGTACATAGTAATTGACATTGCATTTAAATTCTTACAGATTAAAGTTGGCTGGGAAGTATGGTGTCAGAAGTCCCGCAAGTAGTGTCGTCATTCAACACAACTTTCATTACATTGCTGGTTAGCAAAATTTTTAATTAAAATTTGATTGTTTGCTCTAAAAACCTCCCATTGCTTCAATTAAAAAATTTTTCTCAAATATAATTAAACTTTTTATAAATGTAGAGTGTACACCCACATAAACATTTTCAAGTTCAGATTGAAACATGTGGAGAGGGTCAAAATATAGTGGAGAATTTTAAAAATAATTAATCATGGAAAGATTTAGTCATGACACAAGGCAGGTAATTGCAAAGAATAATTTTTACTTTATTTTCTTTATATAGACTTAAATGAATTCCAAAATATTTTTTTATTCACATGGATTACAACTATTATATAATAATTTCACTTGTCTCTCGCCTTGTCCATTTGTACAGCCATTTAAAATACCCCATAAATAATGGACTATTCTATTTTGATTGTGTTATCAGAGACACTACTTGGTTTCTGTTATTAAAAAAAAAAAAAAAGTTAGAAGCATTTAATGGATGTTTCAGTGGAATAGAAAAAGTTGTCAATTTCAAATCATTTCATTTGTACCCCCTTACTTCTTAAAATTACAACCAGCATTCATATTTATGATTGTTATTGCAATTTTCACAAGTTAAAACTAGTTAAAATATACACCCTTGTGCTAATTGAGACAACCATTTTTGTTTCCTTTCTTTCCCCATACAGTTTTTGACCCACTGTAGTGACATGGTGTTAGTGATTTCTATTTTTCTTCAGATTAGATCATTTGCAGTGTTGTGCAGTATTATAAATCTATTTTTGTGGTGTATGATGAATTTTGTTTTGCCTTGAAAAATATTGCATCGTCCATGATCATATCAGATTTTTATCCTGCCCAGACACTATTGTCTCTACTGTTGATTAGTTGTCTTATGGCCAGTGTCTGCAAATGACATTACTCCAAGGATGCGTACAAAAATTGTAATGCTGCATGAACACACTGGCAAGCCTTACCAGTGAGCAAATCAATGTACTATAGATTGGCCGGGAAACTCCCTCAATTTAAATCCAGTCAAGAATCTGGTTAGTCTGCAAGGAACAACTTCATGGAATGGACATTTAACTAAAACATTTAAACATTTTTTGTTTTATTTAAAAAAAAAAAAAAAAAAAAATTTTTAGAAACAGTTTTTATTTTTCTAAAACTTTATTAATTTTAATTTATTTTAATTTTTTACTTTTTGTTTTTAAACTGTCAGGTTTTAAGTTGAAATTCACGCTTTATGGTTCAGGGCCAAATTGGCACCCATAAATCCAATTAATACAAGTTCTATGGCCTTTGCATTGACAACTAAATCTTTGTGCAGCATACTTTCAGGATGTGGTTAATCATGGTCCTCTACACCTTCCTATCATTTCTAGCTTTAAGCAATATTTGTTTTTCCACTATCCCTCTTAGTCTCATTCTGTTATTCATTTATGCAAGTTAACAACATTTTATTACTTCAAACTGGAAGACTTATTTGAAAGACTTTTTTTTTTTTTTTTTTTTTTTTTTTTTTTTTTTTTTTTTTTTTTATGTATTAAACAGTGAGGGGGAAAACGATTTATAAATTTTTAGATTACATTTAATTTTTTTTTGGTTAATGTTTGGGTGTATATTCTAACCCAGGGGTTCTTAATCAGGGGAGAATTCTCTCCTGGGAGAATCCCAGGAGGAGGTGGGGTATGTTTTACTTTTGCTTTGTTTATTTACAGAATGCTGGTTATTGAATTCCAATATTCCTGTATTCTTTTGAACTTTAAACTTTATAGTGGATACTTGTATTTGAAATGGATCCCTCATTTTAATAAAAATGTTGGTTTGGTTTGTTTTACGGCATATCAACACCTCAATGGGTTATTTAATGCTGACAAGATTATTACTGCTGGTAATTTTTTTCTTTTTTTTTTTTCTTCAAAAATGTATTGCTGGTAGTAATACATTTTTTTTCTTAAAAATGTATTGTTGGTATTAAAACCTATTTTTACAATTTCATAGTGTTTTGACCCCAGTTTGGGGTAGGGGTTAACTGTATGCCTATAACTGGGACCCTGACAGTTGCTACCTGAGAATACCAGCAATTAAGAGGTGATTCCACACTCATCAAAACCTGGTCAGAAGCCTTGCTGTCGGATGTAGTTTATTAATCTTACCCAGGATGAAAAAATGTTGGATTAAAACAAAAATAATTAATTCTTTATATGAAAATTTATTTTTATTTCAAGTAGGAATCAAACTCCTTGAAAACAGGTTTAATAAACTGAAGCAATTTTAAGTCTATCTAATTGTGGTCTTTGACTAAACAATACTAATATTTTGTAAATAACATTTTGTGTACGACTTCAAATTTAATTCTAAATTAACAATTGTGATATCCTTTTTTTTTTTTTTTTTTTTTTTTTTTTTTATTATTCCAGGAACTTACCATAGCCGTGTCTGAAAGCGCCTTCTGCTTGCACGCCATTCCTCTGGTAACAGAATGAGAATATGTCTAAGGTCATCAACGCTGCTAAAAATGGATACAAGAAGAAATTAGACATTCTTTTGGAAGGCGGTCATTCAGTGGACAGCAGAGACGAGAAACAAGCTACTGCCCTCTTCTGGGGTGCTTGTAGAGGCCACCCTGGCATTTGTGTGAGCCTTATCTTAGCAGGTGCTGATATTAATGCTCGTGTCAACTGGGGTGCAACTCCACTTCATGCAGCTGTTGATACAGGACATGCAGAATGCATCAAAGTTCTCTTAAAATTGTAAGTCTCTCTCTCTCTCTCTCTCTTTGCACGTCCTCTCTCTCTCTTGCACGTCTCTCTCTCTCTCTCTTTGCGTCCTCTCTCTCTCTCTCTCTTGCACGTCCTCTCTCTCTCTCTCTTTTACACGTCCTCTCTCTCTCTGCACGTCCTCTCTCTCTCTCTGCACGTCTCTCTCTCTCTCTTGCACGTCCTCCTCTCTCTCTCTCTTGTCTCTCTCTCTCTTGCACGTCTCTCTCTCTCTCTTGCACACGCTCTCTCTCTCTCTTGCACGTCCTCCTCTCTCTCTTGCACTCTCTCTCTCTCTCTCTCTCTTGCTCCTCTCTCTCTCTCTCTCTCTCTTGCACCTCTCTCTCTCTCTCTCTCTCTCTTGCATCCTCTCTCTCTCTCTCTCTCTCTCTTACGTCCTCTCTCTCTCTCTCTCTCTCTCTCTCTCTCTCTCTCTCTCTCTCTCTTGCATCCTCTCTCCTCTCTCTCTCTTTACACGTCCTCCTCTCTCTCTCTCTCTCTCTCTCTCTCTCTCTTGCACGTCCTCTCTCTCTCTCTCTCTCTCGTCCCTCTCTCTCTCTCTCTCTCTCTTGCACCTCTCTCTCTCTCTCTCTCTCTTGCACATCCTCTCTCTCTCTCTCTCTCTTGCACGTCCTCTCTCTCTCTCTCTCTTGCACGTCCTCTCTCTCTCTCTCTCTTGCACGTCCTCTCTCTCTCTCTCTCTCTTGCACGTCCTCTCTCTCTCTCTCTCTTGCACGTCCTCTCTCTCTCTCTCTCTCTCTTGCACGTCCTCTCTCTCTCTCTCTCTCTTCCATCTCTCTCTCTCTCTCTTGCACGTCTCTCTCTCTCTCTCTCTTTGCACGTCCTCTCTCTCTCTCTCTCTCTCTTGCACGTCCTCTCTCTCTCTCTCTCTCTTGCACGTCCTCTCTCTCTCTCTCTTGCATCCTCTCTCTCTCTCTCTCTCTCTTGCACGTCCTCTCTCTCTCTCTCTCTTTGCATCTCTCTCTCTCTCTTGCACGTCCTCTCTCTCTCTCTTTGCACTCCTCTCTCTCTCTTGCACGTCCTCTCTCTCTCTCTCTCTCTCTCTCTTGCACCTCTCTCTCTCTCTCTCTCTCTCTCTCTCTCCTCTCTCTCTCTCTCTCTCTCCTCTCTCTCTCTCTCTCTCTCTCTTAAATCTATTCTTTGTTCAGTTGTGTGAGCTTTTTTCTACATATAGCTCCAAGGTCTTTTATATATATATATATATATATATATATATATATATATATATATATATATATGACCCTTGAGGTAGAGAGCTACAGAGTATGCAATAAGGGACACAAACTTGAACATGTTAAGATGATAATGATTTGGGAAGCATCCTCCCATCAATGGAATATTAAGGGAATGAGGGTAGGGTTTACTACAATGTGTATGGCAATCGCAGGTCTTAGCCATGAGGGTTAGAACTGGTGGAACTAAAGAATGTAGTTTGTCTGAACACATTCCATGGAAATAGCGATAGTAGTGAGAGGCTTGCCATGTTTCATCTGTGGAAAAGGGGTGGGATACAGAGATGCTTATGGACTGGAAAGACTGGGCAGCTCCTGCCTGAATATGATATTAGTATTCCATTTTCAAACTGATCTTGTCTCTTCTAAAAGTAGAGGATAGCAAGTGGTATCTTACTGGAGCAGTACAGGAAACTGACTTTTTTTCTTCCAGCATTTTTAGCAATGGATCATATGTACAAGTTTCACTTGAGGACAGGGTTGATCTTAAGTCTCAATAGTCCCTCAAAGCATAAGGCCAACCTGAGAAGACACCTGCTCATCATGAATGGTGAAAATTCAGGTGTCGCTTGGTGATGGTGGAACATCATGCTGTGAACACTTCTCAATATAAAGAGACCCTGTATCATGTGCAGATCAACATCAGTTACGTCTGAGGCCTCCTCATTAGCAATGGTACAATTTGGCATGTCTAGATCTGGACCTCTCTGCAACTGGCCACGGTCCGGGCCTAAGATGCCTCATGCCAGTAAAAGCAACAGGAATACCAGTCAGCAGTTGGGAAGAACAAATATCTTATGAAGTCAATCCCATGGGCATTTTGTTCCTAAATATTGCTGTAGTTTCCAAGGCAGTCTTATTTTTTTTATGTCCACTCTCTGCCTATTGCCCTCATAGTTATTGAGAGAGAGCAATTGCTTAGGTGTTTCCTTCAACCTCGGCACACTCTTACTGTATGTTACAACACGTCACTAGTTTGGTTATCAAGGCGTTATTTTTTCTTTTCCTTAACTGAACTGTTAGTTACAGAGAAGAGATCAGCTGCCAAGCCTTAGTCATCTTGAGGTTTAGAGGTGCATCAATATATCGTATCAATAGCATAGATATTTACAAAAGATTGGGGTATACTCTTAGGTAAATCCATTTGTGTAGAGTAGAAAGAGTTGAAGTGAGCCTTACCGTACACCTTTGATGATTGCTTGGGCCACTGACAACTGGCCATTAACAACAACCTTTAGAGACCTACTCATTAGGAAGGACATAATTGAGAAGACAGTTGCAGTGATTCCATCACTAGATCGCTTGTACAACAACTCTCTTTTACTCAACCTGCTCATCAAATATCAGTTGGAATTTTTTTCCTGGCTTAAAATCTGGGCAAAGAAACTCTCAATTCTGAATCAGGAGGCTTCTGTTTTTTAAACTAATTTTCAGCTTTTCTATGGCTTCTTTGTTATTTCTCAATACAGCAGAAGTTTCTTGAAAAGCATCACTTAAATTCCTGCAAAAGTAGTACTAGTAGTAAAATAGGATAAAGAGAATCCTTGTAAAATCTAAAAAAAAAAGATGATTGAGCTGTTAACTGTTTATTCTTTGGGGTAATTAATTATCCTGATGTTTGTGTTTGCACTTTAGAAAAAAAAAAATTTGGAAGTAACTTTTGGGTTATAAAAATTTAGATTTTGTTAAAAAATGCAGATATCAGTGATGGAAGACATTCCAAAACTTGACATTTGTAAATATTTAAGTCTAGATAACTCTAAAAATTCAGATTGATTTGTGACTGTATTTATTATGAATAGATTACTATGAATGAAGATTAATAGATTATTATGATTTGGTTTGTTTTGTGGCATATCAGCCTTGATGGGTTATTTAATGTCAACAAAATTTTTATTGCTGAGAATAATTTTCCCACAAATGTATTGCTGGTAATTATGAATGAATAGAACACTACTTGCTAAATAGCTATAAAAAAAAAAAAAAATTTTTTTTTTTTTTTTTTTTTTTTGATACTGACAAATGTTATATCTTGAAGATCTAATGAATACTTGAATACTAATCTGCAAAAATTAGTCTGAAATTTTATTTTAAGTGAACTGGTCTATTTAAATAGTATCTAGGATTAGGATCCAATCCCATATGCTATAAAATTGATCTGGGAGATGTACTTGCTAATTATTGTATAATAAAAGTAGTTTTCATATCTTTTAGTCAAGATGTTATTTATATGATGATGTCTGTTCTTAGGCTAAACTTTGCCAAAAAAAAAAAAAAAAAACCATTATAATAAATGGTTATTGGTCAGTATTTCAGACTCTGTCACTGCTTCCTCAGACAATCGTCAGTGGGTCTTGATAAAGAAAAATGCCTGCACACCCTTACTAGTTCAAGAGCAGGCAATAAAAAAAAAATTTTAAATAAAATTGGTATTTTCTGCACTCATATTCTTGTAACTACCTGTGTTACTATAACTATTAAATTGAATACATTTCTTGTGATTTGGGATATAATGGCCTTCTTGTAACAAATGTTTTCCTAATCTACAGCCAATGAGATTTACTGAAATAAACTTCCTTAACAAGCAATTTGTAAAAATAATTTTTTTTTTTAGCCTAAGATTGTGTGATAAAAGTTAGCTTATTCATGATCATGTATTTGATACCTTTGAGATCTATGACCAGAGAAGTTGTTTGTTCCTGGAATAAGTTTTGTAGCAATGTAATTAAAAAAAAAAAAAAATTTTTTTCTTTCTACCACGGTCATGAAATTTGATGGGTCATTTAATTTCATGAAAAGTTTTCAGAGTGAATGCACTTAACCTTGTGATCAAGATGGGTGTAGCTAATTTCTCTCTCAGATTGTTACATTTAATTATTAAAAGTTATGAAAAAGGAAGAAGCTCATTCCTATCAGGGATGGGAGGGGGGGATCTGCCTTATTCTTCATTGAAAGTCATTTCAATTTGAAAACTCTTCTCTATAGTCTGGAAGACATGTACAATCTATAAAGTATGAAACCAGTTGATATTAATGAAAAGGTTGGCTACTTTAGATGATTCAAAGTACTCTACACAAGATGAGACAACATTTCATTTGCCACATCAGCTTTTCCAAACCCTTTACAAAACCCTATTTCAGATCATTTAAGTTCTTTCAAATCCAATTTAATGTTTTCATGATTTTTCACACAAAAATCCTGTCTCCTTCTGTTGTATATCTTTTAGTTATTTATCTTCTCTTTCACTCCTACAATCATATTCTTGACATTTTTTTCTTTTGTTTTTTTGGTATTGATTGATGGACAATGCAAGAAATGCTGTCTTAGAATCAAAAGCCAAAATGAAAGGTTTTTGCATTATACACCAGCATGATATTTTGGCAAGTTTGTTTGCTTGTATCAAATTGTTAACTACTGTCCTATACATCAACTCTTATAAATAGCCAACATGTATGCCAATCCTTTTAATATTAGCCAAAAATACCTTGAGGAATGGTGCCATAGTCCACCTCACAGTATACCTATTATGGCATCTGACACTTATCACAGCAACCCTTCCAGTTTTCATGCTGATTACCCAAATGTCTTTCTGACTAGAACTGATCATGTCCCAGTTTATAATTCTTAAACAATTTGGACATAAGCACATTTGGTTGCCAACCCTTAAAATATATTAACCCTTTAAAGTTGGTAACATCCAAATGTTCCCTTAAGTTTCACATGTTTACACTCCGGGTGTCTGCAATCGGGTAGCTTTACACCATCTCATGATTAGAGGTGCCAGAAATCTACAGCTTTGTAAACCTTTTTATGCTATTTACATTGTTCACACAATTCTCAATTTTATTGCCATATTCACAACGTTTCAGTCGTCGTATGATCTGGCCCTCTTTAGGTGAAATGTTGGAATTTTGAATTGAATCCTTTCAATCCATGGGAGTAGTGTTCTAATTCTACATGCCATGCCTTTTTTGGATATCTCAGTAGCAGTTAATTCCCTTTAGTAACTCAACTTTGTTGTCTCTGCTGCAGCCAGGTATTGAACTTGCAACTCTGGGCCTAGTCACTTTTTTTTTTTTTTTTTTTTTTTTTTTTGATTGCTCAACCAACGCATTTGAAAATTAATTTACTTACATTTAAGATCAACTTGAAATGCTTGATTTTTGATATCTTGAGATATATCGACTTAATAAGCAATAAAGTCACATATGCAGATTTTTCAGGAATTAAACAACTGAAATCACTTAAGCTCTGATAAGTTGTATACAAAATGTCTTAATTCTTGGAGACTAACAGTCAGCATGTTCAAGTATACCATTTTGTTAAATTTTCATTGATGTAAATTTCAGGAGTGGAAATAAGAAATTCTTTGACTGTAAAATGAATCTTTCTTTGAAATCATCTTTGTAATATCAATCCTGTTATATGGCAATCTAGTATGCCACAGCAGATATTGCTAGCTGAAGTGTGTCTGTGCCATGGAGTGGCAATCCCATGGCCCACTTCAAAGAATTCACAGCCAAGGCTTTTGTGTCTAAAGAACCAACTGGAGAAGAATAGTCCATGAAAAAAAAACATCCTTTGAAAAAACCAGAAGAGACAAAGAGAGCCCAAAGAAAATCCAGAGCTTCCCATCCTCTGGACACTTCTAGCCTATCATGCAGTGGCTGCAGACACTTTCAAATCTAACATGGAACTTGTTTTGCACAGGAGGAAATGTCGATGAGCACCCCAATACTCTGCAACAAGTATTGCCAGCAACAGTGAATGCTGGGCAATTTCCTCCACATATGAAAAGGAGATTTGAGTTAACAGATGTGGTTCTACAGAAGGATGCTGAGGATACCATAGACAAAACAAGTGAACAACAAGGAAATTTTATGTAGAGAAAAAGGAGAGGTGCTTATACCTAGAATTTTTTTTTTTTTTTTTTTTTTTTTTTTTTTGCGTATCAGCCTTTTACAGGTTATTTAAAGCCAAAAAATGTTTTTTTAGGTATCAATGTTTTTTGAGATAATGATTTACTAATACAAGTCAGACTAATTAACCCATAGCTGGGGGGGAGGAGATAGATTCATACCTTTCAACAAGTATTTACACATAAGGGAATACAACGGAGCTAACTAGAATTAGAACTCTGCTCTCCAATTCTGAGCTGTTATTCTTTACACCACCTACACACCCAAGTTTACAGCACCTGGTATTCCCAAGTGGTTGCCTGTCTAGGTACTGACCAGGCTTGACATTCCTTTAACTTCAATGATTGTATCAGAACAAGTGTTTCACTGGAATATGGCTATATGACACTTAGAATCAGAAAGACAGTCAATTTCTAGGACACACAATTAGGATAGAAGGCTTGGAGTATTTGACACTCACAGAACATTGAGGAGGTTTAAACAAATAGATGGCAGAATAGGGAGTGGGAGGGGTAGTTATAAAATATATTGCTAAGAACTATAAAGGTTAGAATGTTGTGGAGAGCCATGATCGCCTGTGATGTTGCAGAATGTTGAGTATTTAATGGAATTGGTGATATTGTTTTAATTCCAGATCATCTTCTGAAGACCAGCTAGTACTTAATGAATCATTCAGAAGCTTGAATTTATTTGGTTTGAAATTGTATCTCAAATGGCTTCCATGTCTGCTATCCAGCTACACAATTCATGTTAATAAAATTGTCAACACTAGAATTTTCTTTCTTTTTGGTAAAAATTTCTCATGCATTTTTTTTCTCTTCTCCTTTCTTAGTAATGCTGATATCAATGCTCAGAATAATCGAGGGGACACTCCTTTACATTTGGCCTGTTACCGAGGATTCACAGATGTTGTAAGCCTACTTCTAAATTCTGGTGCTGATATTTCTTTAGTAAACAACCAGGGAAAAACACCATATGTTGAAGCGGACAGCCAAAAGCACGTAACTGTACTCAAGATTCTTCAGCCACAAAGTAAGAAAATCCATTCCTCCTTTGTCTTATTTAAAGCAGTTGTGCATAAAACCTTTTGTACATTAGATTATTTCCTTTCCACAAGGGCGAGATGTCATAAGCCCTCCTCTGATCATTTGCTATTTCCCTGGAAAGTGTTCAGATGAATTACATTCTACTAGTTTTAAGCTTTGTGACTAAGACTCACCATGCCATGCCCATTGTAGCAAACTGCCCTCATTCTCTTCATCTTCCATTGGTGAGATATAAAGTCCACTTGAGCAGCTTCTTCCTTTGTACAATTGTCTCCCAAAAGAATGCTTATCTGATTGCTACAATCTTGACCTGTTCCTTACATACTTAAATAAACACTCTTACTCTGTAAACTCTACCTAGAGTGGCTCTCCAGCCTTTTACAGGGTAAACATCATTGTAAAGAAAAACAATTATAAACAGTCTGTACTTAAAACTGACAGCTTTAAGAAAATTATTTACAAAAAAAATGCAGAGGTTTGTTTAAGTAACTGAATAACAAAATAGGGGGGGATCCTATGAGAAACGTTGCAGGGATGTTTAACTTTACATGTAAATTTCTGGTGTCTCTCTATCTACAAGGGTAAGCGTAACAAAAAAAAAAAAATATTCCGCACTTTGCCATAACACATCTTTAGACAAGAGTGCAGATAATTTTTTTTTTTTTTTTTTTTTTTTTTTTTTTTAACTTTCCCTCATAGATCTACAACAGTCATGGGCAAACTGGTCCAATTAACTTTCTGAATCTATGCCTAATTTCATGAGGAAAATTTAAATGTTGATTGTTTCCTTTCATTCTCACTTGTTCACTCACACAACTCACACACAATCACACACACACACACACACACATATATATAATATATATATATATATATATATATATATATATATATTATGTACAAAGTCTCTTGAATTTTGTAACCTTTTTGTTGAAGGTAATGTTGTCAGCATTTTAAACTTTTTTGATTTTTCACTATGAAAGATCATAGGTGTAAACATATGCCTTAGAAACAGAAAACATCAATGATAATTATTTTTCTCTAGAGAACAAATATTTTTGTATACTCAAATGAAAAAATGATTAAAATAATATGCAGAAATTGTGTGTGTGTGTGTGTGTGTGTGTGTGTAATCACTGTCACTAGTGATGGTAATATACCATGTCTTCAGTTTTTTTTTTTTTTTTTTTTTTTTTTAATTATCATATGAAAATCTTTACTCCAAAGAAGAAGAAGAAAAAAAAAATTAATTTTACCCATTTCTAAGGCAGATGCTTATGTGCAGGGTCTTTGGTTGGGGAAATGGCTGCAGTATCTTTTTAATGAAAAGTTTTTTTGTGTGTGTATATTATATATAGTAGTGCACCCTGCCTTTCGATGTATTGTAGCCCTTATGTATTCATTGTGGAAAAAGGTTGCTCATGCTTGAAGTATAACCTAGCCAACTTCATTCTACTTTTTACTGCTTTTGTTTTGTTTTTTTTTATCATTATCTTAAAACCTCCCACACTGTAACAGCAGTGGTTTTGTTAAGTGAAAAACTCTTATATGAACTTGGGTGGTGGAAATTTACCACTGAACACTCTAATTAATGCACTTTCAGCTTAAATAATTAAAATTGTATTTTTTTAAGTGAAAATTATGGTCACGTAATCCATTGGTCAAGTATCGGCAGAAAATCTTGTGACTTCAATGATTTAAACTGAAGTCCAACAGAGATAAATTATACTAGAAAACCAGAAATAAAAAGCTTCTTGCAGTTTCTATGACTCCTGGAAATTCTTCCATTGCCTGATTAAATATCTCGACTTAACAACTTTAACAAAACTATTGTGATAACAATCCTGAGAATGAATACAGGTTATTATTTAAAGAAGTAAGAGGGTACAAATGAAATGTCAAAATTGGCATGGTGTTCCATTTTGCAGAAATAGACATTAAATGCTATATTTATTATGTATGCTTTCTCATTTTCTGTTTTCTTTTCTTTTCTCTTTTTTTCTCATTCTTTTTTCGTTTTTTTTTTTTTTTTTTTTCTCGTTTTGTTTTTTTTTTTTTTTTTTTTTTTTCGTTTTTGCTTTTTTTTTTTTTTTTTTTTTCTCGTTTTTTTTTTTTTTTTTTTTTTTTTTTTTTTCTCGTTTTTTCTTTTTTTTTTTCTCGCTTTTGCTTTTTTTTTTTTTTTCTTCTCTCTCTCTCTCTCTCTCTCTCTCTCTGCTAGTAGGAATATATACTTGAAATGCACAGATAAAATAAGGTTTATCGTAAAAACCAATACAATAAGAATAAAGATAAGTTATACACAATGTCATTGTACTCAAGATCTCAGCTAGGCTTTGTAGTCTGACTTACCGAGACATAGGTAGTTACTATCTATAGTGTAGTTACTCATGGGGGTTACAGGTTATTCCATTACACCACTCTAAAAATAGCCAGAAAGTGGTTGTAGATTTTTTCTTTCTCTCTCTCTCTCCCCACTACCTGCAAGTGCTATGCTAACATGTTTAATCTTTTTATTTTGCAGTGAATCACCTAAAAGAAAGACAAAAAACAACTCCTCAAATCCGATCTTTGCCACTTGTCCAATACTCTACAGATTGCATTCAGAATTCTCTCAACATCTCTACTTTCTCTGGCAACAATATGAGGAATATTAGCTTTGTTCGAACGAGTGAACCCCAAGAGAATGAAGATCGGGTTGGTTCTCTTGGTGAAACTGACTGTCTGTGTACAGATTTGAACATATTAAACCTTGATAAGCAAACGGACAGTGTACACTCCACATCATCCAGTACGACTGAGAACACGTCGTCACAATATTTATCATCTTGGTTAACAGAAAGTGTCGACTGTAAGAGACCGGAACAACGACAGGTGGATGGGAATTTTTTTCAGTCTGAGATGCAGCGAATGCGGAGGTCTTTAAATACACAAAATTGTCTCATTCAAAAACTTAGAGAGGAAAATGAAAAACTAAAAGAAATGAGTGAACTTCGTGAGGCAGAGCGCATACGTGCTGATAATACCAGTCGACAAATTGCTTTACAGATAGCCCGACTAAAACAGCAACCGACCTTTTTATGGTCTGTAAGCGATGATTCTGTAAGCGATTTCTCCTCCTCTTCAGACCTCTCTGCCAGCCCTGACCAAATCACATCCCCAAACTGTCTTTTTTCCTCCCCAAAATATCCGTCTACGTCAGGGCCAGGTACTAGCTCCCTTAACGTTGGCTATGTAAGCACAAGACATCGGAATTTTTCACATCAGTCTGTACTGGAACTCTACCAGCAAGTTCCCGACTGGAAATTATTAGACTTTGATTTGCTCACAAAGAAAGTGTCTGATGTATGGTTGCATGTGTCTGAAGACAGTATAAAACTTGATCAAAATGATCAAGGAGAATGGCTTCTTGGACATAACTACGAACTCAGGGACAATTCTCCATTGAATCGCAGCATTGAAAGTCAGGGCAATGGGACCTGTTCACTTGTCTTCCGAATAAGGTACAAGAATCAGAACCTCATATTAAAGGTAATGTAATAATACAAAATCTCTAATCTCCTCTGTACTGTAAGTTAAAACATGTACATATATACACACACACACACACACACACACACACACACACACACACACACACGTGTGTGTGTGTATATATGAAGTCATCAAAAAACAAATGTTAGCGATTTACAACAGTTTTTATATACACAAAACCCTTTCAGAAAAAAATAAAATAGAAAAAATAAATATCTCCATAGACGCTTAACCAGACTAGCCGATGTCTTCTTCTGCATTAAATTTAGACACCCCAACCTTACCCTGACTTGACATCTGTGAATGTAACCGAGATATTGATACAAATTATTAACGCCTTACGCCTTTTTTCTTTAAACAATTGCTCTAGCCATTACCATAGAAATTTTGATTTTAATAATGAATATGCTTATAAAACACGTAAATTTCTGAAATAAGTTATTCCAAAAAAATTTTGCTTGAAGATGGAACAGAGCTTAGTACATTAATTCAAATAATTATGTTGATAAGAACTCTTATGTAACATGTTGGAATCATATTTTTAAATTTTTATATATATATATATATATATATATATATATATATATATATATATATATATATATATATTATTATTATTAACAACTATACTCCATCAGAAAACCTTCAGTGTGTTGATTTGCAAATAAACAAGTAAATACCGGGGGGGTGCATAAAAAAAAAAAAAGAACATGTATGTTAACTGAAAATAATCGTCCAGCATATGAGTTAAGGCCCAAAGAAAAAAAACCCCGATGCAGTACCCAAAATAACTAAATAAAAAATTTAATTAAAATTCCTGACGATCTTAGGTGAAACCCTGGTAAGTTTGTCTGGCTCTCTAGGTTTAATATATATATATATATATATATATATATATATATATATATATATACCTTTGATCTGAATAAATAACCTCTTTGTCAATCCAGTCAAGGGAGGTAACTCTATTCACCTTGGCATTTGACAGGGCCTGGTTGCTTTAAACGTGTCTTTTTGGTGGGTACATAGCCAAGTTTTACAGGTGTTATTTTGCCCCTCACCCTGGGTAGATAGCCAAATATTACTGGTGTCATCACTTGCAGATACTCTGAAAAGAACTTCAGCTTTAATACATCATTAACTCTGGAGCAATGAATAGCAATTATGGCTGGTGAAGTGAGTTCAGTACTTATAAATAGCCCATTGTTATGACCTTGTGTCAAACTAAGCTATATATCAGTTTGGAATGACATGACTGGCTGTTTTTGAATTTTAAAATGTGACTAGGTTTAAGCACAAATTTATTTCTCAAAGCAAGCAGTACTATATATGATAGAAATGTTGCCAAAGACTTGGTTGGAATGCAGCAATCATGTTGATAGATTCCCAAAATTGAGTGAAGTCTTAGAATAGAAAACTGGAATGCTATAAGAATTTAACAAAACTGATTATTTTAACTGTTATCAGTTACATAATCTTTTCTTAAAATCTTTTCCTAATGTTTGACAGTGAATTTTGACTTATAAATAATGATGTTGGCAGACCAATAATCATTGTTTGCTCATCATCCTTTCTTTCTTTTTCTTCAAAGGGTGAATTGCTAATCTGGTAGCCTACTCTTCCCTGCCACTATGGTGTACTCTTCCCTGCCACTATGATGTACTCTTCCCTTGTTTTTCATTTGCCACATCTCTTTTCTGCAGAAACCAGTGCACTGTGTGTGTGTGTGTGTGTGAAAAATTTTTTTTAACAATAATGATCACCCTGTATAAAGGCCAAGAGCTACTCGAGGTAGAGGCTTATAGTGTAAGAGACATAGTTTATGATGATTTATTATTAAGGTAATAATATATATGGATCTCAGCCTGCTGGCTTATTGATGACATATTGGAATGATTTGACCATTGATTTACATTCCCTGAAGGCCTTTGTTCCAGAAAGTACATTGCCAGTTTGCCAAAACTGACTTCTTTTAACTTACCTCCAAAAACTCTTCCAATAAAATTAACAGTGAATTTTCTGTCTCAATGCAAGTTTGTTGGTTAGTGTAACCAGAAATTCACAATGGTTGGTTTTGTTGTCACTTGACCCCAAAAGTTTGTTTTTTTTTTTTATTCTCTATTGGCCAAGTTGTAGCCCACTTTTAAGAACTCTCTCCCAGACATTGTTGCTGGTCATAAAGCATGAAGCACTTGAGGCCAAGATAAAATCATCCTCTTCTATGTAGGTTAATCCTCTTCCCTGGAAGAAGACATTTAATTCTTTAAGAATTCAACTAAGTCACCCTATCACCTAATGGCATTTTTTTTTTATTCTCCTCTAATACTGCAACATAAACAATTCTCTGGCCAAATGATCTCTATTTTGCTCATGCTCTTATCAGTGGCCCGTATGTCATGCTACCAAATCTTATCAGATTCTGCTACTCAACAGCTGGGGGAATTCAATTACACAAATTGACATAAACTTCCTATATTTGACTGTGCAACCAGTCATGGTATTTACAATTTCAGCTTGTTTAATGATTCTCTCTCCTGAAAATTCTGTAAAAGAAGAAAATGGTTATAATTCAGCACTTCTTTTTCTGGTTAAAGATAAGGTGTAGGAATTAATGAGTGAGCCTTTCATCAGATTATGTAACAAAAGTAGAATGAATTTTTTTTTTTTTTTTTAATGCAACCATTTCATCATAAATCCACTAATCAGAAATGGTATACAGGCCTGTGGTCATTCCTAATGACCAATTAGAAATGCTGATTGAAAATAATTTAGGTCACAAGTCATGGGACATTGCAGAAGATGCTCCATGTATCTTTTATGAATGTTTTAAGATGTTTGAAAACACTTGTAAAACATTACAATGTTTTGGTGTATCATCCGAGATTCTTTACTCAAAAACAATGAAAACTGTTTTTGAAAGGAATAATCAAAGCCTATGAAAAATGGCTTGTTTACAACAATGAAAGGCAGAAAAAGTGGCAGGTGTGAAAAGCCAGTCTTCATCTGGAGAGGATGATGCCATATATTTGGGAGATCATTGTGTTGTAGTAGATTCTCAGTCTACAACTTCAGGCACTGAATTCAGACAAGGACCATTCCCAATTGGACTGATTAAAGTCAGAAATTGATGAAAAGCATCTGTAATTGGCCAATCAGAAGTTTATCTTCTATTTGGACAATACCAGACTTTACATCTCTTTGCAGACCACACATAAATTGGTACAGTTGGACTTGCATGTCCTGCTACACCCACTGTAATCACCTGACATTTGGATTACCACTTATTTCATGCACACCCTAACAAAACTCTTTTAATGGCAACCACTTTGACCAGTTCATCACCCAGAAAATGCCAAGTTCTAGGAGAATGAGGATAATGAAGCTACTTCAAAGGTAACAGAAGGTTGTGGAATGAAATGGCCCATATGAGGTTGAATAAATCTGTACAAATATATAAACATTATCTTTGAAATTTACTTAAAAATGCTACAAACTTTTATTCTCTCTACATTAAAAGAATCAAATTAATTCCAAACATTCCAGTAGCAAATACATTATCAAAAGTAATGATTATTATGAAATTGTTTGCCTTCACCAGTGTCCTGGGTAAGATGATAATGACAACAAGGCCTCTGATCAGGAAATTTTGAGGACTACAGAACCACCTCATAATTTCTAGTGTTCCCAGGTCCGCCCTGACCCGGGATGGTAGCACCTGTCAGGGTCCCAGATATGGTCAAATAGTTACCCTCACCAAAAGTGGTCAAAACACTATGAAAGTATAAAAATAGATTTTTAATACCAAAAATTTTTTTTTTTTTTTTTTTTTGTAGGAAAGGAAAATAACATTGAAAAGTGGGAAGAATAAACAGTATTACATAGAAAATTAATTTCCTTTTGCAAAATATTCTTATTTTTGCAAAATTATCTTCATTTTTACCTTTTCCATCCTGAAAACTTTCAGGCACAATTTCTTTAAATTGTAAACACATGTTTGAAATCACTTATCACTAGACTGAATTAGTAGTACAAATAAAACTTATTTTAAGTTTAGCTGGAATTTAACTATTTCCTTAGATCACAGATATTAAAAATTGCTTCAAGTAAATGAATCATTCAAGTCTTAAAAAGACAATCGTTGATCAGGCGTTTTTGGCAATAACAAAAGCCATGTCATTTGTAAATATCCAGTAACAGCAATTAAAATGGTCAGCACATTTAACTAGAAAGGAAAATGTTAACTTTCCACCTAACCTTAAACAAAAGGTTAGGAAGGAAACTCCTATCAATTCTAAAAGCTGTTAATAAAAATTGTGGGAGCCTTTTTTTTTTTTTTTTTTTTTTTTTTTTCTTATGAGTCTATATTTAATTTAGGCCAGATTTATTACATACTAATTAAGTTGTGCCATGGCTTCATGTTCTACTATCTAAGTCCTAGGGACAAGGTTCGGTCTTAAGGTCAATTTACTGCTTTTAAAATATTTGTCAGACTTGGTCCATTTCATAGTATGTGATGTCATTTGTTTATATTAAGATACACTTCAAGCAGATATGGATGTTCAAGGGGAATCATGCGAAGTATGTAGTTTAAAAGCAGTAAAATCGACCCTGCTAACTAGATTCTCCTTTGTAGCTAAACTGGTATAGCACGTCAGGTTTTATGATGGTTCCATGTAGCATATAGGTTCAATTCTTGTTGGAGAACACATTTTCTGTGGAAATTTCTTGAACATTCAGGCCAGTAAATGTTGTTAATACTGTTTATTATAAACAGAGCATTTACTTAAATATTTGTGTGTGTATATATATAAATAATGTATAACAATAAAATATATTATCACTTATGTATAAATACCCTTGGGAAAGGTATGAATTTGTCTCCTCTTCTCTGTTATGGGTTAAATAGTAAGGCAGACTGGGCTCTCTAGCCATGATAAGCAATTGAATTCCAAAATTGTTACTATTAAGTTGTCAGTAATGTTCATGCTCATCTAATGAGTTGGCAGTTTTCACACATGCTTGGGTGCATTTCCTTTCTAACTAAATGTTTAGTAGTCTTGAATGTAAAGGAGAATTTCTCATAATAGTATTTTCTTTTCTTTTTATCTAGATGATGACAAATCTCATTGATCTTCATGAACATGGCCATAACCAAGGACACAGCCTCAATGATTCTCTTCAATTTCGTTTTGGTGCAGAACTCACTCCGACTAAAGTTCCCCCCCACAGAAACCTCATAAAAATCATTCATCACTACAGTGGCACGACATTTAACTTCCAAAAGTTTCATCACCTCGTTGCACCACCAGGTCTGCAGGGCATTGAAATGGCTCACCAAACTCTCTTTTTTGTGATGCCAGAATATCCAAAGAGTCTAAAAACTTTCATGGAAAACACTAGCTTTAATTCCTCGTTAGAAAAATTTCTTTTACAGCAACTGTATCAGTTGCTTTCTGCAATTTATTTACTTGAAAAAATGCACATTGTCCATCGGGATATAAAACCGGACAACATATTCCTTGATTGCAGGTTGCGACCTATCCTTGCAGATTTTGGTTTTGCTAAAAAATTACGCAACTTAGACATGAAAATACCCGTGACACATTTGGGACAAATTGAAGCTGCCAACAATTTGGCTTGGACTCCAGAAATGATCCGATGGAAAACTACTGTGTATCCCTTTACAAACGTAAGTGTTCTGGCCTCGTTGAAAAATCAGATCAGTGTAATTGAGCTATTGTTACTATTTGATCTACCGTTAATTCTTTGTATTTCTGCATTTATCTGTTGGATTTATTTTGTTACATATTATTTATTTCTAATATTTAGTGTTTTGGGTTTTTCTATTTGTTTTAATTTTGTGTGTTCCTTTTGTCAATGTATATATAAATCTTTCTCGGGTATTAACTCATCTTCTCAGTAACAAGTTGACTGACATATATATATATATATATATATATATATATATATATATATATATATATATATATATATATATATATATATATTTCCTGGCCTAGGTAGGCTTTCTAAATACACCAAATGAATCCTGCATTTAGGATACATTTTATAAATAGATGCTGACAATCTGCAGTTCTGGAAGAACTGTTTATATTTTCCCCACCTCCTATCCTAATTGTCTATGGTGTGTATCCTTCGTCCCAACTCTCTCCCCCACCTCTTCTCTTTCTTTTTTTTTTTTTTTTTTTTTTTTTTTTTCCCCCCCTCCTATCCTAATTGTCTATGGTGTGTATATGTCACCACGAAATGTATCTTTATGCATTAGACATCCGTCGACTTTCTTTCTCTCCTCTTTTTAAACCCCCCCACACACACACACACACACACACACACACACATCTCCTAAAATTCTCTCTGTTAAGGTTTCATCTCCCTCCTCCTCGTACTTACACTTTCTCTAAATTCTGTTTTGATTTCCGGAGTTGTTTTTTTTTTGTTTTCATTTTGAATTTGTAGGTCTGATGATTTGGATCGTATTTACGATTCCAATGGAATAAATTATGACCATGGAATATTAGTGTTTAAGCCTTTTTATTATATCCTTACTCTGTCCTAGACATTGAGTTCTACCTGGATTCTTCCTCTTGAAAATTTTTTTTCTGAAAATATACATGTATGGGTATTTTTTTATATATATATATATATATATATATTGCATATGCATGTATATTTTCCATGTATTATATATATATATATATATATATATATATATATATATATATATATATATTCCCAGATCAATTCTGTGGACAAGACAGATTGGTATAAAATGACAATTGGAAAAAAATCTTAGATTTTGCCGATGCATTTCGTCTTCCAACTTTTTCAAGGCAAAAATGAAATCGAAATATTTTTGTTGTTATAGTTACATTAAAAAAAACTCAAATTTAAAGATACTTTTGTTTTTTTGTGTTTGTTTTTTTGGTTGTTTTGTTTTTTTGGTTGTTTTTGGTTTTTTGGTTGGTTGGTTTTTTGGTTGTTTTTGTTTTTTTTGGTTGTTTTTGGTTTTTTTGGTTGGTTGGTTTTTTTGTTTTTTTTTTTTTTGGTTGTTTTTGTTTTTGGTTGTTTTTGTTTTTTTTGGTTGTTTTTGTGTTTTTTGGTTGTTTTTGTTTTTTTTGGTTGTTTTTGTTTTTTTTGGTTGTTTTTGTTTTTTGGTTGTTTTTGTGTTTTTTGGTTGGTTGTTTTTTGTTTTTAAACCCTTACTATAAAGGTAATTTACATTAACCAGAAAAAAAGGTGAAGACTATATATATATATATATATATATATATATATATATATATATATATATATATATTGTTTTTAACTTTACAAATTGCTGGGTAAGATGATAATGACAACAAGGCCTCTGATCAGGAAATTTTGAGGACTACAGAACCACCTCATAATTTCTAGTGTTCCCAGGTCCGCCCTGACCCGGGATGGTAGCACCTGTCAGGGTCCCAGATATGGTCAAATAGTTACCCTCACCAAAAGTGGTCAAAACACTATGAAAGTATAAAAATAGATTTTTTAATAAAAAAATTTTTTTTTTTTTTTTTTTTTTTTTTTTTTTTTTTTACATACTTTGATTTTTATTCTAGATTTTAATCATGTGCCAATTTGTATTTTCCCATTTAATCCCCTTAAATTGTTTTTGGTTGCTCCTGTTAAAAAATAATTTTTGCAAAAGATTTTTTCTGATGAAGGGTTGGCCAAATGGTTCCTTTTCTCCACACCCCCTTTTTTTTTTTTTTTTTTTTTTTTTTTTTTTTTAAGACCTTGACCTGTCCTGTTGAGGCAATTATTCAATTTTGCAGTATCAAATCAGCATGCACACACACACATATATATATATATATATATCTCAAATGGGTAAATATAGGTAGGTATATGAGCGAGCATGGTGGGAATCTGAGAAATCGGATCCATTACATTAACTTATGTGCTAATATCCTTGAGAAAGATATAAATTCTCTTCTGGAATTGTGTGTGTGTATATATATATATATATATATATATATATATATATATATATATATATATATATATATATATATATACATACACTAATCATTTTTTTCACTTATAAATATATTTTGTGAAATACTTTCAGCTAACGCTAGCCATTTTTTCAAGACTTTTGTTTTTTTTTTTTTTTTTTTTTGTTCATTGGTATTTTGCTTTTTATGCTCTCCTGTATGTGTGTTTTTTTTTTTTTTTTTTTTTTTTTTTTTTTGATCTCTATTCATCATCTCAATCTGTTGTTACAATTGTCCCAGTCAATTCATTCTTATTTATGGTGCCAATATTTTGCATATATCTATCTGGGAACATCAGTTTGCTAACCCTTGTTCTTTCATCCTCAAATTTCTTTTGTATGGCATAAGCAATGTCCAGGAAGCCTCATCCTTTTGAATTCTATCTTTGAAACTTAGTGAGATTAGCCTTTCATAAAGTTGCTCAGTCATTTAGTTTGGCACCCCCATTCTATATTAAGTACCATTCGTAACACTCTAGTGTAGCGTCCCTCTAGCCTCTTCCAGGAGATTTTGCTAGTGGTTCATGTCTCACTTCCATTCAGGAGGATTGACTCCTCTATTGTAGCCACAAAGATATATATATATATATATATTTATATAAATAAAAATAGTAATTTAGACCCCTTTTAAATGTGAATTAAGTTTAAGCATTTAATGATTTTTTTTTTTTTTTCTTCTTCTTTCAGATTTAACAACTTTGGCAATTTCAACCATGGAAAGATTAACAATCAAACAATCTTAAAGTTTCAAGAGTGCAACTGGAAAAATTGTTCATAAATTTAAACAAACTGGGTTAGTGTCGGATGTGAAAACACTATTGCATGCTCATTTACGACATTCAGCTGAAAACATTGCAGTGCACAAGAATGTGTCAAAAATTCAGACACCTATTTGTCATTGTTCACAGGAATTGAACCTCTCCACAACAATGTTATATAATTTTCAATTGCACTCTTGGATGTTTGATTATGTTTACCAAAATATCTGTGTGTGTAATGCATTTCTGTTTGTTTTTTTTTTTTTTTTTTTTTTTTTTTTTTTATGAGCTTTGATAAATTTAACACATTATTAATTTTTCTATGGTTGAAATTGCCAAAGTTGTTGAATCTAAAAGAAAAAAAAAAAGCATTAAATGCTTAAACTTAATTCACATTTGAAATTGGTCCAAGTTATTGGAACACCCTCTCTCTTTTTTTTTTTTTATATATATATATATAATGCTTCTTAAAGAGGAGAGAATAACATGGATTGCCAGACTCAAACTGTTTGTATATTGATTTTTTTCTGCAGAATATAAATTTTATGAGTCAAACAATATTAAGACAGAATACCCTTTTGAAGCACATTTTGTGATCACATGACCAGGAGTTCAAATTGCCCCATGACTATGCTCCCCTCTTTCTCGTGAAAGAAATCTCTTGTTTACGTCGGTTTTAGAACCTGTTTTCCACTTTGGTATAATCTAAGGTTGTCTTTGAATATTTTCCAGTGAGAGTAAGTTCTGATAACCTTGCAGAATGTAAAGTCTGGTAAGTCCTTACTGGACGCTAAAATTGGAATGTTCTTTCATTCTGTTAATATAGAGAAGGATTTACTTTTAATGATCAACTATTAGGCTTAGACAAGTCTTAATGCAGTGTGTCTTATTGCTTTCAACCAGGATTAAGTGTAATTTTTAAATTAATATCTTGACTTCTATCATAACCTTAGAAATACTTATTTGCAGGGACAATAGCCTAGCATTGGTACATGAATTTTGTGACAGTAATTGCGAGTTCAATCCTTGGGTTAGGCAGTACGTACTTGGAGACAGGTGAGCAATAACTGAGCAGTAGTAAAAATAAGACATCCCTAGACATGGGTAGTGGAATGAGAACAGTCTACCCCTGTAGATTCGATAAAGGGTTCAGTTTGGAATTCCCTGTTGGTTACCCAGATCGATCTTCTCCTGAAGAAGTTAGGAGGGCAAAATGGCCAAAATGTTGAGATAATGACGACAAAAAAAAAAAAAAAAGATGAGGATGATAGTCAGATTGTAAATAAGATAAATAACTCCTCCTAGAAATTGCGAGGGGGGGAAAAAAAAAAGTATCTGTCTATATTTCTGAGATGAGGTATTATGTACACTATTTATATTATTCAGACTATTGTCCTCATCTTTGTTGCCATATTTATTTTTTGGCACTGGTAAAAACAGTTGCTGAAGACATTAGGTTTATAATACCCAGAAATTCATACGCAGACGTCCTCAAGGACACATGGCACAGTGGATAAAGGCATTAGATCCAGTGAAAGGACCCAAAGAGTGAGTTCAATACCCAGTTAAGGCAGTGAACTTGGAGAGGGGAATTAACAGGAGATAACTGACATCCATTAAACATGGCACGGGGAACTAGAACAGTCTACCCCAGTGAGCAAAATAAAGGGTTCAGTTGGACATTCCAACCACCTGAAGAAGGCCTGAGCTTACAATGGCCGAAACGTAATAAATATGGCAACAAAGATGAAGACAATAGTCCGATTAATGTAAATAGTGAGGGGGAAAAAAAGGTTCACTGATTTTAATTATTTTATATAATTTTTTTTTCTTTCTTAACAGCTGGATGAGGAAGATGTCTACAAATTTACAGATTCTTATTCTGTCGGAAAAATGTTCTATGGTTTTCTAACAACAGAAGATCAAAAATTCCCCGAAGTGACCGGTATCAAACCACACTATAGCAAAGAGGAATTACCACACTTGCCTTCTTTCTTGTCTGCTGGCCTACGTTGTGTTCTTCAACGACTTGTTCTTGACCAGCCTTCTGAGCGGTTGACAACACGACAGGCTATGCTCTGGTAAGTTACCTTTTCAAAGTCTCACATTACAAAATTAGAAAAATTTCAAAACGGGAAGCTCCTCTTATTTTGTTTCATAACCTTCTCAGTTGACTTGCTGTTTGGCTGTTAAACACTAAAATGATGCATCCTGGGTTAGATGATAAACTACATCCAACAGCAAGGCCTCTGATCAGGAGGCTTAGAGGAGCGTGGAACCACCTCTTAATTGCTGTTGTTCCCAGGGCCACCCTGACCCAGAGTGGTACTCACTGTTAGGGTCCCAAATATGGGCAAATAATTAATCCCCCAAACCGAGATTAAAACACTATGAAAGTGTAAAAATAGGCTTTAATACCAGCAATACATTTTTTGAAAAAAGATATATTGCCAGCAATATCTTTTTGGAGAACAGAAAGATATATTGCCAGCAATAAAAAAATCTTGTCGGCATTAAATAACCCATTGAGGTTGATATGCTGTAAAACAAACACTAAAATGACTTTAAACAAGACTTTACCTCTTATCTTGCATTTCTGAAGTTTCTTATAAACCAGTTTCCCCCCCCTCCCTTCCATCAGGCTTTTCTGGTAACTGGGGTGGCTAGACATGTGGCAGGATTAAAAACAGACCTGTCAGAGTGTGGATGGGTTCTTTTTGTAGGGTCCACAGCTATCTAGCACAATGGCATAGACAGGACTCTGTAGCTAAGGATGCATTTAGTCTTGTAATGACATTGCTTTGCTGGGTAGAGGACACCCTAAAGCTAGAGTGGAGTTTTTTTTTTTTTTTGATGGAATCAATGGCTGCGCCTATGTTCCCAAAGATATTGTGAGCATATACCTATGTCCTTCGGGCAATTTTTCACTGACTGGCATCAAAGTTCTGGATAGCAAGTAGCTAAGAGTTCCACAAGTGAGACGTATGAGATAAGTAACTGTTGACATAGAACTTAGTTACATTTAACCATTCACTTGTAAAATGATGAGACCTATCTGCCAATCTAGTACTGCACTTAAATTTGTAAAGTCTAGGTACCAAAAATGAAAGCACATCAGAACTGTTACTGTGAAAATATTCATAGAAATGGCAGAGGCAAGCTTTATGGTGGTGAGAAAGTGACTGAAGCTATCAGGTCAAGGCTGATAACATTGTATATTCTTCTTTGGATATCAAGAATTACTATATACATTATGGTAGGTCGAATTTGGAACTGCGGTGTTGTGCTCAATTTGAAAGTTAGGGTTTCCTTTGATAAATAATGACACAAAATATTTTTTCCAAATTGTTACTGTTGTATGAAGAAATTCTGGTTATCAGGGAAAGCCTTATAATGTTCATAATTTTCTGAAGATTCACAAATTATGAACAGGAAGTAAGGCACAAGCACATTATTACTAAATCATTATGCTATCAAAGAAGACTTTCATTTACTTCAAAGTGAAATTATACTGAACAACTTAGCTATATTATGATGTAATGTTATACAGTACAGTAGTTTTAGTGTGATTTTCAATAAACAATGCAATTTTAAAGCCTTTTTCCTTTTAATTTGTTGCTGGCAGTGTTATATACACTTTTATCTATTTTTTGTTTTTATTAATTATGATCTAACAAATCTTACTCATAGAGTAGCCTTTTTTATAATCTTTTTTTAATGATTTCTTATTGAATACAATAAAAAAAAAAATTAAAGTAACATTTTGCTTGTGATTCCGAACTAGAAATCTAGTTTGAACATATTTTCCATTCATTGTATCTAATACATAAAAATATCAACTTTATTTGGATTTATTCTTGAAATAGTAAAATTTTGAAGTCAGTTTGTAAGCAAAACCTGTGTGAATTAGGTATTTCAGTACATTTTTTTTTTTTTTCTGATAATCTTTAAATATTGATGAATGCTATGAATTTAATTTTTGGTGTCAGTACTTGTCACATCAAACCCCAGCTTTCACACCAAGTGCAATATTGATTTTTCTATAAAAAAAAAAAAAAAAAATCAACCTGCCCTCATATACATGGCAAAAGCACTGAAGCAGATGTGACCACAAAATTCAAATCATGGACAAAGAGTAGATTTATAATTATGTAAGATCAAGTCTGACAAGAAAAATTGTCTAGCATTTAAAATAAACACAAGTTGCCCCAACAAAATTTGATAGAAAACTCCAATCTTGATATAAATGAATTCAACATTTGCCTCCTGTCCTAGGTAAGAGTCATCAGTTTCTAGCAGCAATGGACTCATTTTTTGGAGAGGGATGCTTTCATCTGTTAAATAAAAATACTTACGTCATTGTAGAGATATCATTTTGGTTGCATGTGGTTTTTCTGAATGGGAGATAATGCAGTGATATTATGTTGTATGCAACACATGGTCCACTTGTGATTAAGACATCCCACTGAATGAAGAGAACTGATTTTTAAAATTCTTATGAGCCGCTTGTCATTTTAGCATGACTTGGATTTCTTGATCTTTGTCAAGTAGTTGATTATAGGTTTGTGCAGAGGCTAAGTATTCAAATCATTTTCTTTTTCTTTCAGGACTGGTTTGTTGCTTTTTCCTCCTTCACCTGAAGAAATGACTCATAAGTTGATGGCCAAGCATTATCTTCAAGCGAAATTGATGACCCTGTTAGTATTGAAGCCCACAGTGTAAGTGATTATTTTGAACCTCTAATATTTATATCTGTCTTTGACTTGGAGATGTGCAAGAGAATCTCTTCATACAGACTGCCTCTCGGAAAAGAACAATCTTTAATAAGTCTTTTATTAGAAGCTCATGCTATCACAATATAATTGCTTACATTGGGACTATAGTTCTCATTGCAACTTTATCACAATGTTTCAACTGTTGTGCCCTCTGCTGGTCTTCAGGTATTTGTACATGAAGATAACCTTCAGAGAATTTTGAACTGAGCCCTTTATTCAGGCTGGTAGCTTGTTCTCGGTCTGCTGTCCAAGTCTAGGGATCTTTTTGTTCTTATTTACTACTACTGTTGTTCTTATTTACTACTACTGTTGTTCTTATTTACTACTACTGTTGTTCTTATTTACTACTACTCAGTCACCATGTTTGCACTGAGCCTGTACAACCTTGTCAAGATACCTGAAGAAGGCTGGGGGCAAAATGGTTGAAACATTGTGATAACAAAAATGAGGAAATTCATCTGAATCCAAATGATAACTCTTCATCCCAGAAATTTAAACAGGAGCGATAATGTAACATTTCATAGATTTTGGTTACTACAATTTTAACATGAAATAATAATGATTTTTTTTTTTTTTTTCTAAGCATAATTTAAGTGTGACACAAGGCCAAAAGCAGGGAGGTTCAAACTCCCTATTCGGTCATACCCGATCTAGTGGGACAAGCTTGGTAAACATTATACCACATCAAACTTCCTAATAGCTATTTTCTAACCATTGCCTAGGCACACATTGGCACAAGGCCAGAAATATGGAGCACCCAGTGAGGATTGAAGTCCCTATTCAGTCATTGATCTAGCATAAGCTTGCTAAATATTAAACTATACTGAAGTGCCTATATCTTTGTAATTGTATCAAAACTGAAAAAGTAGTTGCACATAGGTTATGTATCTGTGGGGGTCTTATGAAATCTCCAATATTAGAAGATGAAAATTTAAAAATAAAATTTTTAATTCTACAGATTTCATTGCAATAAAAGTTGCAATAAATATTTTTGTTCTACATTATGGCAAATTGAGGACCAAAAAAAAAAAAAGAACCAACCAGAAATAAAGTGGATTAGTAGAAAAAAAACTATTCCAAAAATAGTGTTTGAAATTATAGAACAAAAATTACTACAAATTTGAACTGTCATAATTGAATACAGAATATTACATACAAATTATGACTTTTGCACATCTATAAGCACTGGATTTCATGAGGTTACCACATCATTCAGGCAATGTAGATTTTTGTATCATTCCACCAACTGTTATCAGCTTCTCTGCACTGACATTATCACTGATCTTCCATAGATTCTCAATTGTTGTATGAATGGAGAAAAATTCAATTTCCAAATCTTCATTACAGGAAGGATGTAATTTTAATGTAATGTTTCAGTGCTCGGTTTCATATTTTGTGTGTGGGGAAAAGATTACTTTTCAATTTCTTGCAATAGATGTCTGTGGGTGTAGTAAATGTTTTCAAGTGTTTTATTTTTCTTATTTTTTTTTTTGTTTTTTCCTTTCAGCTTTCAATCTGATGACCAATCCTCATTAACAGTGGAAGAGAGTATCCAGCAAAATGCACAAACACTGGAAGCTGATTTTCTGTGTAATGTCACTGTTGATGAATTTTGGGACATTTATCAGACAATTTCACTACTGAACTCTGACCAAACAAATCTCAATAATTTAAGCTAGAAAAAAAAAAACCTTTTTTTTTTTTTTTTTTAAATAAATTCAAATTTGTGATCATTTTTGGTGTCAAAGAGAACTTAAAAATCTATCAGAATGTGATAATCTTGCCTAATAATTTAATCTTCTGATTTAGGCAAATCTTAATATGGCTGTCTGACTAACTTTGATTTTTACAGTTTAATGACTCCAAATTTTTGGTATTTTTTTCTTTCTTGCCTGAAGGCTTTCCCTCCACATCTTCTCCAAAATCCATATTGTAGTGATAATCAACTTGCTCAACAGGATCGGAAAAAGGATCTATCCTTTTCCTAAGGCCAAAAGGACAACTCACAGTATCAATTTCACAGATCATCAAATAAATTCTGTACATTTTAAAACTATTCTTGTTTGTTTGTTTGTTTTTGGTGTTTTTTTTTGGGGGGGGGAATGCCGTGTCAACTCCTAAGATAAGTTTTTCGTTTGTTTTCCCAACATACAACAGAACATTAAGCTGTATACAGTATAAATATTATACAAATCAAATGATATACACACTTAATTTTTTTTTCTTGAGATTCTTGAAACTGTTTTCTATGATCTCCCCCCCCCCAAAAACTCATTTCTTTTTCCTCTTTCAAGATTTACATTATAGATAACTTTTCTCCCATATAGAAGATCTGGATAAAAGGCGAGACAGTTGTCAAACATCTGCACCACTTCAGTCAACCCTCCCCCACCACATGTTCACCTATAAGGTATCACAATAAAAAACACAATCAATTTATTTGCCATGATAGGACAGGATTTATTGCCAAGTTTATGGGATAACCCCCACTTGTCTGTCAAGGAATTTTTGCTAGCAGCCACTAGATAGCATGTAAAACAATATATAAAGAATGGACACATGGGTTCTCACTGACTTTTTTTTTTTTTTTTTTTTTTTTTCCTCTCTTTTTACCTACAGGATGCCAAAGAGAGAAGAGACATTTCTTTGAGCCCAGCAAACTATCAGAATATACATGACATAACCTGTCTTAAGTTGATAAATGTACCAAAACAAAAATGATTCTCTTGAGTCTTGAAATCTTGAATTGGACATTACACATTCTCATTCTCTCTCTCTTTTTCTCTCATGTATGTATGTGCAATAATATATATATATATATATATATATATATATATATATATGGTGGAGCATGCATAAGATGTGCACCCTTCAGCTTACTATACCAACAGAATAAGTTATTAACAGTGAATTGTTTTGTAGTGAGCTCAAATTTCATTTTGCATTATTATTTCATGATTAAAATAATGAAAGTATATTACAGAAACTTTCATTCAAATATTTTATTTCTGACTTTCAGTTCTCTCATGTTTTGAAGCTATATATATATATATATATATATATATATATATATATATATATATATATTTTTTTTTTTGGTTTTTAATTTTCTCTTTCATTAGAGACCAAGTTAATGGCCTTTTTAAGCTTCCTTCACGTGAATTGCAGTAAAATTTGTAATATGTAAGAATTAAATATTACAGAGGCGCACCAGAATTTTAGAAATACCAAAGTGGGGTATGGTCCCAAAATCGATTGGGGAACCAATTGTCTATGCTAAGAAAATGACTGCAGTAATTTAGTAATTGCATGAGTCTGCATTTTTCTGTTTATGTTCAATACTTCCTGATTATTAAATTATTTTTTAAATTTTATTTGACTTTAAGTGATCATGCCTTCTAATGCTATAAATTAAAACAAACTTAAATTTCTTTTGTTTTATTTATCTATACAACCCATAAGAATTTAAGAGTTAATAATTCTAGTTAAAACATGACAAAAACTTTGACATTCAGTATATTCAATTTTTTTTTTTTTTTTTTTTTTATCTCATTAAACATGTGTAACATCAAGGGCTAATGTGATTCATCAATAAAATCGAGTTGACAATAACTTAGCTAAATGAGTGTTGTGGTGCAATGGATATTGGCTCAAAATGACAAATCTAGTCGCGTCTGTTACATTCACTTACATGCAAATACACTTGGGGGGAAAAGGTCTCAACACATCTCTTCTCCCTATGAGTTAAATGGCAGGACAAACTGGGTCCAATTGATTGCCAAAGTGTGAAACATTAACAGAGAACAGCGCCCGTGGAAAGAAAGGCTTGTTCATAAAATCGCTATGCCACTGTTCAGTTTAATGCCTTCATTGACTTTGAATGGTTCAATAATTGTTAGGTCAACAATTCCAGCCTATATCATAACACAACTGCCTCCTTGTTGCATTCCTTTAGCCACAAACAAGTCAGAATTGAATAAAATCCAGCCTTTGGTCCATCACAGATTCGTCCGTAAAAATTACTTTAGAAAAGTCAATTTTCATATATTTCTTGGCCTAATTTTGACACTTTAAAATATTTGCTTTGATGAGAGGAGTTTGACTAGGAAATTTTTTACAGATCTCAAGTCAGAAAGTATTCTACATCTTTTGTCCTTGACTCTCTCGATTCCAGCCTTTTCAAAGATCTGAGTGCTGATCAAAAGTCATTGTTTCACTGTAACTCGTTTTAGTTTACGCTAATCTCTAGGAAGGAAATTCTTAAAACCTTTTTCTTTGCTTCGAGTTTTCAACTTATATTTTCAACAGCCTTCTTTATCATTCAATGATCTCTGCAAATCTTCTTTTACATCTCCAGTATGGACATTCCCTCATTCAATAACTTTATTTTCTGTTTTTCAGCAGTTGTTAGATGCTTAACTTTACCCATGTTTCAACATATGGACAAAAAGAAAAAAATAGTTTTCAGAGGTCTTAAGCTAATATTAGTTTAATCTGCATATTAACTTCAGTCAGTCCATTTTTGTAAATTCCAAGCATCTCAAAAACTAACCACTTTTTTATATTGTAGCGCTTGCTATGTTTTCCACGCCCACATTTTATTCGCCTGCGATTGGCTGATAAATCATTACTACTTTTATAAGGGACAATTTAGCCATCGCGGTCGTTTCTTTGACTCCTTCAGTTTTGAGCTTGCTTGCTTGTTCTGTTAGTACGAATGTAGTGATTAATTTTTAATCAATCACATATTTTAGTGCAAGATTAAGTCTTTCCCACGTTGCCGTAGGAGCTTACCCTTTTTCCATAAAAGAGGCGACTTTTTCACAAGTCGTCAGTAAGATCCAGTAAAATTCGCCTGTACGCACAAGTCCACGATCTTCCTCATAACACTTCAGACGCAGACACACAGAATTTCGTAATATAAACTTACATTTCTCTGTGACTTTTGCCAAGTACAATCAACCAGAACTCTGTTGATTCAAACCATTCTATATCACAACACACTTTTATTGTATTCTTGTGTTATTTATTCTTGACATGCATACTTGCTCTAATATTGATTTCTGAACATTGTTCTAAGAAAGTTCTCTTGAGAGAAAAATCAATTACAAATCAATCTACAGTTAAAGGGGAACAACTTCTTTCCCTTAATCTATATAGAAAACAATTTTATTGCATGTTTGTTCTTGTATGTTATTTCAATATATATTTGATTAACAATTTAGTTATTGTTGTTTACTTGAATCCTGTACGTTGAAAATATCGTTAATATAAATCGTAGTGCTGCCACAATTGAATCCCGCACGTGGTGTCCATTACATTTCCATTTTTTTGTCTCTAAACATTCGCTGTACCGGAGTTCGGTCCATACTCCGTAGTTTGGTATTGTTAGCAACCTTCTGGAGTACCACATTTTTATTGTCTCGAGTCTCATCTGTGATTAGATTATCCAGAATTTACTGCCATACAGGAAAAATTTATGTAACTGTTTAGCATTATTTTTGTATGTGTCTAACGAAATTGTTCAGCTTCTTAAAACTCTTTTTAGATAGTCAATCGAACATGGGGAAATAACTTTCAAATGCATATTGGATTATGTACCTTTAACTAGTAACGTATTTTTTTCCTGTTCGAATTTAAATTCTATAGTTTGTTTTCTAATTGATACCTATGTCAGTCGGTTAAGTGATACAAGCTTGGGCGAGAACGTTTCTTTCGAGCCATGGCTGACTAAGCAGAAGATTTTCCCATAGTAGGTTGCCATTTCCTTATAGGTAGTGGAGCGAGAACAAAAGAAACCAAGAAGACAACGACTGACGTTTTAGAGTTTTGTGATTAAAGAAAGAATCCTCATCACCATTTCCACGGGCGCTGTTCTCTAATCGACTGTTAATGTCCCATATTTTAGTAATCAATCAGACGCAGTCTGTCCTGCTATTCAACTTATAGGGAGCAGAGATGGGTTGATCTCCGTTTTCTCATTCCGACCCGATATCCATTACATCACAATACACATTCTGACACTCGTTCAGCTAAATTGTCAACTCGATTTTATATTTGCTTAACGAGATGATATTGTAAGGGCCTATTGGTTGAAAGATTTATTTTTGGAATGTCGGGGTTACCAATTGTAAAGGTTTCCGTGACCAATACTATTTATATTATACTTTCAACGTACAGGTTTCAAGTAAACAAAAACTCCAAACTGTGAATCAACAAGTTTTAAGTATATATTGAAATAATATACAAGAACAAATATGCAATAAAATTTTGTTTTTTAAGTTCGTCCCTTGTTAATTAAAGTATAACTTTTTTGGTTTTGTTTTTGTTTTTTTTTTGTTTTTTGTTTTTTTTTTTTTGGTTTTGGTTTTTTGGTTTTTTTAAATTGTAAAATATCTTTCATGTTGTTCTACCGGAATCAGTTCTCGTCAAGACGATAATGATCATAAGTTGTTTGTGTTTTTTTTTTTTTATTGTTTTTTCTTTTTTCTTTTTTTTTCTTTTTGTCTTTCTTTCGTTAAGGAAAGAAAATCAACAAAAAAATTATATGAATAATATGAATTCTTTTTTTTTCCCCTCTTTCTTAATTCGTAGTGTTATGGTCAGCAGAGTTCGGCAGCAGTTTGATATTATTAAAGGTCGAAATGTTTTTCATTCACCTTACTTCTGAATGGTAATATGCTGATTATATTTTTTAGTTAAGTTTTAGATAAGTTAAAATGGTTAAGAGGTTAATAATGCTATCAATAACTTGATATGTGAAAGAACTTATTTAAAATTTACATATCGATACATCAAAAGATTCTCTGTAAAATGAACAGACCTGATTTTTAAAAATGACGAAAACTTAATAAAAACAGTTTTACTATAAAAATCTTCGTATTATTATTAATGGGTGAAACCAAGGCAGTTACTGTTTTAATCTTTTATATGGCGTCAACGCGAGACCATAACTTTGTGCAGGAAATTTAGGGTCTTTTCCACGTGAAAAATACATTGATTTGAAAATTTTTGCAAGAATTAGATAATTGTTGGATTTTAATTAAACTTTTACGACTTCTTGACAAATGAATAAAAATTATATGAGAAGCGATATAATTATCTGACCTTGGAAGTTTAAGGTTAGCCAATCAGCTTACGGTTGCTGATTGGCATGCTTTTCTACCTCTTTTTGAAGAACACTCACTCTTGGTAAGACCTACGAAATGAACACTTGCAGAACCAGCCAGCTCTATACTGTTATCACCACAGTCCATAGATGGCAAAAACATCGATTCTTCTTAAGCAGATAAGTTTGGTTGCAGACACCATTAAGTTTTCAGGAACTTATTTGTAATATTGTTTAATACAACTTGTATAAATCACAGGTCTGTTGCGTTCTATTCTTTATTTATTACACCTGCATCCATCACGTGGGAATCTTATATGGGGCCCACTTCAATTCCTCATAATTATTTTACACCTACAGAAAACCTACCCTGAATTGTAAAATAAAAATTGCAATAAAATTAGAAAAGCTTTTAATTGCTTTTATGAATAAAATACATTATAGAAATTTACTAATGTTTAAGTGAAGTCAATTGGCAGACAAAGTGATGTAATCCCACCTACATGCTGCCGCTAAAATATTTTTTTTATTTTTTTAAATATCTATATACACGTAAATATAACTCTGTCTCCTTTTCTGAGCTATGTTCTTTATATAACAATCCTTCACGTGTTTAATTTATTTTGAAAGTTTCATCCTCATCCCGTTATATATATATATATAATATATATATATGTTTAGGCAGCAATCCTTCTTTCATGCACATTGAATACTACAGACAAGGTGCTTTTATTTAGTTTTTTATACAATTTCTCATGCGATCTAATAAGTTTTTCCCCTTCAGATGATAAATTATGTCCGAATGTTCTTTTTATCTGAGCGCTTTCGGCTATACATTTAGCCATTTCAAGAATTAAATATTTTAACTGTTAAATAAGAAATAGTTGTTGCGAATAGTGTCCGGTAGGTTTCCATGAATATTTAAATGAGATCTAATTGAGCTATGGTCAAGAAAGGTCTAAGAGTGAGTCTGCGTGCCACACTACATGTTTGACACGCAGTCTCTCTCTACACCTTTCTCACCATAGCTCAATTAGATCTCATTTAAAATATATATGGAGACCTGCCGGACACTATTCGTAACATACTTGTTGACAACACAAATATAATAGCATCATCTACATGCAAAAAAAGGCTAAAAATAATGGAAGCCTTATTAATAAAAAAAACACTTAATAATATTAACTTTGAACATGGACACAATATCTTGACCGTGTTTTGAAAAATGAAAACATTTTATAAAAAATGTATACAACAAACTATTTCTTATTTAACAGTTAAAATATTTAATTCTTGAAAACGGCTAAATGTATAGCCGAAAGCGCTCGGATAAAAAAAATAACGTTCGGACAGTTTTTATATAATTTATCATCCGAAAAGGAAAAAATTATTAGATCGCATGAAAAATTGTATAAATAAAAGCACCTTGTCTGTCGTATTCAATGAAGTGTGCACACATATATATATATATATATATATATATATATATATAATCCAATAGCATTGGCGGTAGTAATAGATTAACCCAAAACACAAAAAAAAATATTTAATACATGTGTACAGAAATCTTATTACGTAGCAGAACAGGATTAACAATTGGTAATATTAAAAGTTTTATTTATGTTTCTAGTTTGCTGTTCTCACAAACCCGTTTTAAAAGAAATTATTGCTTTGTTACGCAAATATGGGTATCCAGTTGGGCCAATAATAATCGCTCATACTAGTATTGAATTCTTCTTGTTTGATCTCTTTTTCTTTTACAGGTGATTGAAAGTAAGTCGTAATTCCATCAGCCAACCAAGATGCCCACCATTCGAATGCCCCAGGCGACATGATTGTATGATTGCACCTGGTCAAGAGACACATCTGAAACACTGGGTCAGTGTTATGCACAAAATGGACGAACTCGGGTAGATTTTCTTCGGCCAAACCTGGAGTGTCCGAACAGGCGACAAAGATGACATGGTTGAAATGAACAACGAAGAATTTCATAGCGTTATAGAAGTAACTTTTGGAAGCCATAGTCTCCGTCCCGTTTTTCGCAAATCTCTTTCTCTGCATATGAATGCCAACAAAAATCAAATCCTTCGGTTCTTGCTGAGCTAGATAGATGTCGTTTTTGATCGATTCCAACTTTTCTTCTGCCCTGTAAACCAACCATTCATCAAATTGAAAGAGAGCCCTAAGTTCCATTTCCGCGTTTGCAAAGTATTTCCATGACTGAAAGAATCCGTCCATATAAATTTGGGGTTTGGACTTGAACTTGAGAATTCGATCGTCAAATCTATCTGCCTTCAACTCTCTGAATATGGTGGCCTTTTTACAAATGCTTGTGTCATTCAGGAAACGTATAAGCGAATTTGTAACATCCATTTCAAAAAATGGCAGTATATCTGGCTTTGTGATGACAGTCATATTAAAGCGTTTTGCAATTCCGTAACTGGATGCAAGCATGAACATTCTATTTGGCCATTCTTCGTCCGAACGAAAGCAAATGTACTTTTCCGGTAAAGAGGTGGACACTAACATGTTTTCTTCCATGTCTTTTTCCTGAACTACGTCACTTAATTCAGCAGTCATCTGGTTTATGTTTCGATCCGTTTTTACTTCGACCCAATAAGGTTCCGTCTTTGGAATCACGTGACTGTCTTTCGTTGTAATCCGGATCTGTGGGTTTGTGTGGAAAATCTGATAGAATATGTGGACAAATGGATTGTAGACAGTTGTTGCAACGAAAAGGAAAAAAGTAATTCCAAGCACTGTAAATAAAAAAAATAAAAAAACCAACACATATTTTAAAAAAATATGTTCAAACATGACACCACGAAATAATAAATAGCTTAGGAGGCGGGCTAAATGCAAAATAAATGCCCACATCATGACGGTAAATGTGGATTACTCCCCTTGGCTTTGTCGTGGCGCTATTTAAATTCTAAAAAAAAGGCAAACATTTCCTTCAGCTTGCTCAAAGACATATCAAAACGTAGACTGTCCTTAGTAAGACAAGCTACATCCAACAGCAAGGCCTCTGATCAGGAGGCTTTGAGGAACGTGGGACCACCTCTTAATTGCTGGTGATTATAGGTCCACTCTGACCCGGGGTGATAGCACTTGTTAGGGTCCCAACTATGGGCAAATAGTTAACCCCTGCCCCAAACTGGGGTCAAAACACTATGAAAGTGTAAAAAATAGGTTTAATACCAGCAATAAATTCTTTGTGGAAAAATTATTACCAGCAAAACATTTTTGTGGAAAAAATATTACCAGCATACATTTTTGTAAATAATTATTACCAGCAATAAATAATTACCAGCAATACATTTTTTGAAGAAAAAAAATCTTACCAGCAATAAAAACCGTGTCGGCATTAAATAACTCATTGAGTTTGATATGCCGTAAAACAAAACAAAGTAAAACAAAGCAAACCAATCAAAACGTAGATAAAAGGCGTACCCACTAGGGAACGTTTCTGTACCCAGTCGATTGATGGCTGAATATCACACACGCTTGTATCACACATATACACGCACGATTCTTAATAGTTAATAGCGAAGTTTTAAATGACTCTTTTTTTCTTTACAGTTGTGTACAGATTAATGTATTTTTTCTCTTTACATTTGTTTGAAATATATGTTTTGTATTTATTTTTACCCAGATACACATGAGTCCACTAAATATTGTTGTACCAAGAACCATTAAATGTTTACTGACAAACGTCCACACCTCACAATGAAAGTGGAGATTCCTGCAACACAACAACATTTTTAGAGTATTACCATGTTGTCAACTATAGTTTTTTTTATATCTGTTTTTTTTTCTAACTCGAGATTGAACTGGAAACTGAACAAATATGTTATCACAAGCAACATTAGCACTCGACATGATACGTTTCCTTCGTATTATTCCATTTGTAAAGAGGAAGTTCCACTCAGACAATTTTTCTCAAGAACTGCTACTTTGTAGAGCAAACTCACGTGTGGACGCTTCGATATACGTTACAACCATAACTTCTTCGGGTCAAGGGTCAATCGTTATCTTCATAATTTTCACTTCTTTCTTTCTCCTATTACGTTTACATCACCATCCGCCACTAAGTGACCCTCTACCATGAGAGGCATTCCAGCTTTGTATTAGGTGAACTTACTATTACATACATATATATATATAGTCGACTCTCTCGTCGAATTCGACGTATGAGGTTCAAGCAGATCACTTCCCAGGAAACCGACAGCCCGACAACAACACATGAGATTTGATTATAGTGGGGAAGGTTTCGTGCAAGACCATCCACACTTTTTGAAGGGCCGAATACAGAGACCTGGTGCACTAAGTGCCACAAGGTCACCAAACGACCCTCCGTAGGTTTTGCATTCAGAGTTGTCCTTCTCCTAGACCAATTGCCATCCAAGGCTACAGAACCCAGTCTGTCCTGCTATTTACCTATAGATGGAGAAGAAGAGGATTCACACCTTTCCCAAGGGTATTAGTACGTAAGTGAATGTAATGGATTCAACTTGAACTCGGCTCTCTGATTCCTCAATCCAAGCCGCTACCCATTACTCCACGGTGCCTCTCTCTATATATATTACACACCAAAAAATCCAAAATTACCTCAAGTGAGTAATGAGGTAATTTTGGATTTTTTCTCTGTAATGTATATCGTGTTATAATAAATACTTTGAGCTCTCTTTGTGGATCAGTTTTAATATTTGATATTACTAGGATCCACCTGGATTATATACCAACGGATCGATTACCTGTAACGGATCGATATATATATATATATATATATATATATATATATATATATATATATATATATATAGAATGCAGTCTTCGTGGCCTGACGCCTGCGTTAAATCATGAAACCAGCTGTCGCCGCTCGGTGTTGACTTCGGTGTCCACTTTCATGCTTATTTACACTCTATTCCTGATATTGAGCATTTCTTCCCATAAACATAGCATACCTTAAAACTATATTTTTTTCATATATATAAGAGAGAGTGAGAGGGGGAGAGAGAGAGAAAGCAATAGATAGATTTTCCGTGTATTATATTTATATGAAAGCTAATGACTTGGAAAAAAATGGAAAATTACGTTTTATGATGTGCTTTTAAAATTAATAGCAGTAGTGAGTTTATGTCAAATTAATGTAGTCAGTAAGGGTTGCTGATTTTTTCCCCTTTGGGGGGGGGGGGTGTTATTTTTATCATGTCGGTTTCAAGTTAAATGGAATCACGATTTCGTGGAGTGAACTCGGGCGGATTGCTAATCTCGAAAAAGAAAGAAAGGAAAGAAAGCGAGCGAGCTAGCTTTGCTCTTTTCTATCTGAATTTCTGGGATGACGTTCTCATTTACAATCGGACTAATGTCCTGGCCCTTGTTACGATCACAACATTTTGCCCATTAATTACACTATTGACAAGTGGACTATTGTCTTCCTTTTTGTTGTTATCACAACGTTTCGGCCGTTGTGCCTTCTGGCCTTCATCAGGTGTATGCCAATCCGGGCAAACTACAGTAAATTCTGAACTGGACGCATTATTTCCTCTACAGCGTAGACTCGTCCCACCAACCATATCCAAGGTTATCTCGGCTAGATTTTTTTTTTTTTTTTTTTTTTTTTTTTTAGTACTGTTCAGTTATTGTTGGCTCTGTTTCCACATAGTCCAACTACACATTGCCCGGGTAACCTTCATGAAATTTCGAACCTTATTTGAACAACGGGTCTTGGTTGTTCTCGTTTCACTGAACATGCCTTGTTCTTTTCTCGCCTACGCTTTTAAAGTATCTTTTAAGTTGCTAGTTATTGTAAGTCCTGTCTCCATCGAGTCTGTACTACCCAGCCCAGGTATTGAACTCCCAATTAGTGACATCAGATTCACAAACCAGGCGTTTTATTCCTCTCATCTATTGTCTCATGGGACAATCCGGAAGCTAGAAACTGAAACTTAAAATCATAAACCAATTCTTCTTGCCTCTCTACTGTGGCAGCAACTGCTGCTACAATCTTGCTAGGAAGCTATATTGCCTCCGTTTATCCTTTTCTTTTTTTTACTACTGCTGCTACAGCTACTGAAGCTCAAACTTGTCTCTCTCTCTCTCTCTCTCTCTGCGATAGAATGAACCGAGCGTATTTCTAGTATAATTAGTCATGAATAATATATCTGAGTCCCGTTTGAGATCTGGAGTGAATGTCAGTGAGACCCAGTATCAGTTCAAAATTTGAAGCTTCGTTCAGACTGAAAACCATTCATCGTGACCGGAGAAAACGTCATGAGCACACAATGATTCTTCAGACTTTCAACAAAGGGAGGAAAAAAAAAAACGCTGCTTGTAAAATGTTTCAAACAATAAGTTTAAGTAAGAATATTGATTCTGAACATTACTTTGTTAAAATGTCATGACATGATATTTAATCACAACGGGATCACACATGGCTTTAATGTAACGTATGCCTAGCCCTAATGGATGTAATGGTTAACGAACTGGCTTATCAGGCTGTTAATACTGTATAGTGTTTTCAATCCTTACTAGACACACGACACGACACTGGACTTTGAAAATATCTTAATTTTATCAGCGGAAAGAGCCCTTTGTAGTTAGTTAGTGTCAGAAGTGGGTGGAGCAGAGAAACCCGAATATATATATATATATATATATATATATATATATATATATATAAGGCTCAAAAAACTAATATTCCATGCTTATAATTTATTACATTGAAATCGTAATCTGATCAATTCATTGAATTTATGGGTCTGATGAATTGGATCGTGATTACCAATCCAATAATAAATTAACCACCCAGAGACTCTTAGTGTTTGACATTAATTATTTTAAATGCCCTGGACATTGATTCTTAGATTCTGTTCTGGACATTAATATATATATATATTCTATATATATATATATATATATATATGTGTGTATGTGTATGTATGTTTTCATATATATATATATATATATATATATATATATATATATATATATATTTATATATATATATATGTTTTCATATATATATATATATATATTTCCATATATATATATATATATGTTTCATATATATATATATATAATCGGTATCAACCCATACAAGGCAGTAAAGCCACTAAGACATAAGGGGTTACAGGATGTGGAAGAATTAGGAACAGAAACATTAATAATGAGCGGGAAGAGAAGGAGGATAGTAGATAGCTTTTGGTATTGCATTTAAATTTTTGAAGATTAAAGTTGGCTGGAAAGCATGAAGCCGGAAGTGTGTTCCACAAACGAGGAGTGCAAGAAAAGGAAGTGTTAGTATAGAAGTTATGGTTACATCTAGCCAGTTCAACTGTAAATTGATGAGATCTCGATGCCTGTCCAGTATTGCGCTTAAATTCATACAGTCTAGGTATTTATAGTGAGGAGCTTATCCGAACAATTACCATGAAAGTATTTATAGAAAAGACACAGAGAGGCAACCTTACGGAGGTGGGAAAGTGGCTAAACTTGAACCGCCAGATCAGGACCAATAATATTACTGATTTTTCTTTGGATTTTATCAAGGAAATCAAGATAAATAACATGGGCACCGGACCATACGTGGCAGTAATATTCTAGCATGGACGAATGGTAGATTCATAGCTATGTAAGATAGATTCTGGAGAGAAGAATTGTGTCGTACGACACAGTGAACCAACTTTCTTAACAGTTGACCTAGCAATGGATTCACTATAGTATTTCCACTTCATGTCAGCAGAGAACGTAAACCCAAGAATCTGTAATGATTCACTTTCCTGGAGGATAGTATCATTCGAGTGAACGGTTTATTTAGATTTAAAAACAAAATACAACCTCTTTTTATGAAAAAAGAAAATAAAGAGAGGTGATAAGGTTTCTGAGCTTTACTCTGATCAATCAATCAAATATGACCTAAGTTAAATTTAAACTAAGAGAAGAAGAAAAAAATTTAAAAAAATATTTTTTTATAAATGGGCCATGACCCGTAGATTGGTAGCTAACGGCAGCACAGTCTATATATCTATCTCAGTCTCTTCATATCTATCTATCTATCTATCAAAGGGTTACAGGATGTGGAAAATTGGAACAGAAAGCTTCATTGTTTAGCATGAATGAAGGAGGACACAAGATAGCTTTTGAGGTCATGGATTTAAATTTTTGAAGACATGAGTTGGCTGGAAATCATGGGAGCCGGAAGTGTGTTCCCTAGTTACAAACATGAATGAAATATTTTTACCATTGAGTTATGGTTAAACTAGAATTTCAACTGTAAATTGATCCAATAGATCTCTTGCCTGTCCAATCCTCCTTAAATTCCATACAGTCAGAAATAAATATAGTGAGATATTATTGAACAATTGGATTCTCCAAAGTATTTAATGGAAAAGGTTAATTGCCGGGAAGACTCTTCCTCATCTCTTGGAAAAAGTGGCTAAACTGGTCCATGAAAAGAGTTTTAATTCAATATACTGATTTTTTTCTTTGTCCTTTTATCAAAAGACTTCCAGATTCCATGGGCACCGGACCAAACGGTGGCAGTATATATTCTAGCATGGACGAATAGTAGATTCATATACAATAATTTAGATTCTGGAAAATGCTTGTTTAATTAAAGAAATCAACTTTCAAAAACGAAAGTGTATAGAAATGGTAATTGCTGGATCATTTCCACTTCATGTCACCTGTAGAATTCTTACAATATTTAAACTTTTTTTGCAGATTTTTGTTATCACAATGTGGGATAGTTAATAAAAAAAGTGAACGGTTTAAACAAAATAAAACAAAATAAAACCTAGACTTTTTATCAAAACACATGTTTAAAATTAAATTAAAAATATTAAAATTTCAGCGCTCTTTTCTGCGCATGTGCAGTCAATCAAATATGACCTAAGTTAAATTTAAACTAAAAAGAACGAAACGAATTTAAAAAAAAATTTTTTTTTCTCAATGACTTTCCTAACCCGTAGTTGGTGACTAACGGCAGCACACAGTCTGTATCTATCTCAGTCTCTTCATATCTATCTATCTATCTATCTATCAAAGAGAAACAACAGCTACAAGCTATTGTAGAGAACAAACTACCATTGTTTTGGGATGAATGTACCATGTGGCACTGAAAAAAGGTATTTGGGTCATGGACAAAACACTCAGACATGAGACCAAATTCCCTGAAATCATGGGAGGGTATCACTGTGCCATTCCCTAGTTACAACATGAATGAAATATTTTACCATTGACACTGTGGTTAAAGCAAATTGCCAGTGAATTATCAGCCAAGAGTTCTTGAACTCGTGAATCCTCCTGGAATTCCATCACACAAGTTGGAAATAAATAAAATGTGCCAGTTATATTATTGAAATCTAGTTCTCCAAAGCTTTGTAATGGAACAAGGTTAATTGCCGGGAAGACTCTTTTATAATAATTTAAAAAAAAAAAAAAAAAAAAGAAAAAAAAAAAACATGTATATTATATGTATATTTAATATTTAAATTTTATTATATTGTTTATTATAATATATATTTTTGTTATATAATGTTTTTTTTATTTTAATATTTGATGTGTGTACAATATATTAAATTTTGACAAAAATGAAAAAATTTTTCACAAAATATCAATGTGGAAAAAAATGTTCAATGTATGTGCAAAATCTAAATATTTTATATGATGTGTTAATATATATAAGTAATATAGTATTTAATTTGATATTATGTATATATTATGTTTATATATTATTTTAAATTTTTTTATTCACATTTATATATATATGTATTTATAAAATTATATATAAATATTATGTTTTAAAAATGGTTTTAATTATGTTAAAATATGTTTTGTTTGTTTTTTTATTATGTTATATTTGTTTAATATGTATTTTAATGTAAATTATATATTGTGTGTATATATTTTTTAAATTTAAAATATTAAAATTTCAGCGCACCGTCTCCTTCGTGCGCATGTGCAGTCGCATCAAAATAAACATCGCTTTTTAGTCTTATGATGTCCTAAAGAACGAAACGCATCCCACAAAATGTTTTCCTGTTTCTCATTGACTTTCCTAACACACACACATACATATACACACACACAGACATATCTATCTATATATCTATCTATATATCTATATATCTATCTATATATCTATATATATATACCCTGGCCAGTGGAAGTTGTTCTAGACCGTCTACGAAACTCTAAGGTCCGGATGCTAAAGATAGCATCAGTCTTCTAGTAGATTTTGTATATTCCTAATTTATGTATGTATGTAATATTGTATGTAGGTATGTATGTAGGTATGTATGTATGTGTGTGTGTATGTGTGTATTTAATCATATATATATACACATATTTTATCTAGTAAAGGTAACAAATCTGTTAGTACATAATCAAATCTAGTAATATAAATTGATCCACTCTTTTTGTATATGATGGTTTTAAAGTTAATATGTGATTTGTATAATATATTATTATTATAAATTTTATTTTAAAAAAATTTAAAATGTATGGGTTTTTAAAATAAAAAAGATAGAAAAAATAGAAAAAAATAATAAATGAAAAATGAAAAAAAAGGAATGAAACAAGCATTTTGAAAAAATTTGGAAATTTCGGATAGAAAAAAAAATAGATTTAAAAAACCCCAAAATGCATATATTTTTTAAATTTTTTATGAACAAATTTTATTGTGAAATTTTTATATTTATTTAAAAAAGTAAAAAATAGTTGGATAGAAAATTTTTAAATGAAAAAAAAATAATTTATTATATATATTAAATTTGTGTATTTATGCACCAAATTAATTTCGGCATGTCCAATTAAATAAATGACATTGTGTCTGCTAATTTTTAACAAAACTGTTCATATTCACGAATAACTTTCCGTGTATTGATGTTAAATTATGAGAAATGTTCTATAGCTGCTTAAATTACTTTTTCTCTTCAATGTATTTTTCACCACATAGTGGGTAAATTAATAAACTAAAAAGGTGTGTGTGTATATATATATATATATATATAAATTGTATTTAAGCAATAATCCTTCTTTCATGCAAGCTTCATTTTATGTATATGTATGTGTGTATGTATGTATTTATGTATTTTTCATGTATCTCATATGTTTTGTAGTTGCATTATGTATTGTTTATACCTTGGTTTGTGTAGCTTTATATGTATCAAAGTATGAAACCTAAGGGCATATATATGTCTCTATGCAACCACATATATTATATATATCATGGATGTGTGTATTTGTGTGTAAATACCATATATATATATATATATATATATATTTATGTGTGTGTTCCTTTCACATTACTGTGTGGTTGTCTATGTTTTGTAGTAACAAGGAACTCAAATATATGATGCAAATTATATCTCATTCTAAGTGATTTATCCATATATATTTGCTCTGTCTTTAATTTGAACGGCACTATATATATATATATATATATATATATATATATATGAACATATAGCCTAGCATTGAGGATGTAACATAAGAGATAGATCAAGTATTGACCATCATAAAGACTGAAAAACGAAATTGACAAAATTAATATAGTTTAAGGTTTGTCAGACATGCATGTCTTAATTCAGTTTCCCGATTTCATTTTTTTGTCAATTGGTCAAGCTCCAGCAATAAGCATTGTTTTCAATTATATATATATACAAAAGAATTGAATAGAATTTTCATTAAAACAATTGTCTTAATTAAATTTTAAAGCATTCGAATGTAAAAATAAAAAAGAAAAAATTAGTACCCATTAAAATACCTGTGACACTGTCAAAATTTTGTTGAAATCTTCAAAAATTTTCAATAAAAAATATACTTACTTTTTCTTAAATGCATTGTGGCTATTTTTTTTTTCTCAGGGCTGAATCGTTATTTTCGTAAACAAAATAAAATCTATATTATTTCACCTGAAAAAGAAATATAATAATTGTGTTTATTTCATTTGATGTAAGCAGGCAAATCATTAAGTCCGTAGCCTAATGATAGAAAAGTATTAATTTTACACAATTGATATTTATTTTTGAACATAATCTCTTTGCTTGTCAATGCTCTTAATTCAGTGGTGAATATTAATCACATAGATTGGACATTATGCAGTGAAAAATAAAATTTCAGATAAAAATTTTGCTTACAATATACGGACTTTTTAACCTACTCATATATGATAAAAAGAGATATATTAACAACATTTTGTATCGACATTTATTGGCCTATTCATATATTACCACCCCCCACCGGTGGGTATGGTAATATTTTAGTGGGGCACGCGTAAGATGTGCACCTTTCTGCTTACTATACCAGCAGAGTAAGGGGGCAATTCGAGAATGAGTTATTAATAGTGAATTGTTTTCCAGCGAGTCTGAGAGAGAGTGTTAATACATACGATGCATATACAGTATGCATACATAAAAAATGTTTTTTTTTTTTGTACGCATGTGTAATTGGAATACAGGGTATTTCCCGTCTCCCCATACTCGTGTGTCTCGATCAACAAAGGAGAGGGCGTGAGGCATGTCGATGGAAGAGCCCATGTTTTGTCTGCCAATCAGCACTCGTGAACATTGTTTGCTCCCTTCACGTGAATTGTACAATTTTGAATATGTAAGAATTAAATATTACAGAAAATGGTGTGGCAACAGAATTTTAGAAATAGAAAGTGGGGCATGGCCCCAAATCGGTTGGGAACCACTGGTCTCGTAGGAAGTAGAATAATACCCGAATAAAAGTGGAGATAGAAAAAAATAAAGTGGAAAAGCTATTCAGACAACGTGTTTCGTCTCTTATGGCAGGCGTCGCCAGGCTGGGATGAGAGCTAATCACGCGGGTAAGCAAAGAGTGTTAGAATATGATGAAAAAAGTTATAAAGATCATTATCTGATGTTGCGGCCAGAGAGAGTTGAAGCAACTTCCGTTCGCTGGATTTAAAATTTAGCTCATCTCCGACTTTGTTTTTTCTGTTATTTCGTATGCTGCATCGTACTACTAATATTTTTTTTTTTTTTTTGCAATGGTTATGTTAAAAAGTATGAGGCCCATATATAGGTTGAATATAAATAAAAACGGACCAGTCTCATATAAAGTATCTTTTTGAAAAAATTTTTACCAGCAATACAATTTGAAGGAAATATATTACCAGAAACAGATTTTGACAAAACAAAACATTACCAGCAATAAAAATTTTTGTCAGCATTAAATAACCCATTGAGTTTGATTAGCGTTTATTTTAAAAATAAAACAAAACCAAAAGTATACATATTCTATTCATACGAATCTATCCTAAAAATGTTGTCAGCATTAAATAACCCCTTGAGGTTGGTATACCGTAAAACAAAATAAACCAAACCAATCATGTAAAGTATCATCCATCAATGTAAAAAAAATATTAGTAACACAATGCGACATACGAACTAATAAAGAAAAAAAAAACAGAGTTCGGGGCTGTTGTCCTCATATTCGTTGCCATGTTCATGACGTTTCGGCTGTTGTACGCTCCAGCCTTCTTCAGGTGATTTTGAATTTTGAACAGAACCCTTTATTTCGGGCACCGGGGTACATTGTTCTACTTCTACGTGACATGCCTCTTCCGGATGTCACAGTGTCAGTTCTTTCCGTTTTAACTCAGCTCTCCAAGTTATTTTGTTCACCTCTGCTATTTAATACCTGGCTACAGCTGAGGTGAACAAAAAACGGGATTCAATCGGTCAGTCTCACGCTGTTCATATCTATCTATCTATCTATCTATCTATCTATCTATCCTATATACTCGCGCATCATGCGACATTTGAAGACTTAATTTTGAAGCTAATTTTAAGAAGGTCGCATCATAGACGAGACATAAAATTAGCGTAGGCACTGATGGTCCTGGTTACGCCGTTGACCAAACTATACATCTATTTACTGTTGTCAGATTAGCTTCAAAATTAGGGCTTCAAATGTCGGATGATACGCAAGTATATTCGGTATCTATCTCACGTTGTTCATTATCTATCTATCTATCTATCTATCTATCTATCTATCAATTCATAATTTTGTGTATACATACATACATATATATATATATATATACATACATATATATATATATATATATATATCTTTTGTTGTATAATATTATATCATTCATCTATTCCATTCCATGATGTTCATATCTATCTCATCTATCTGTCTGTCTATATATCTATCTATCTACTATCTATATTTTCATGTTGTCTGTCTGTGTGTCTGTCGGGGGTTGTTACCTCCCAGGCCGCATTTCACCCGATTTGATGCAGTTTTCAACACAAGTTTGCATATGGCTGCCGTAAGGACATGACGGAGCCCGATTTTTGAGTTCGAATCGGTTCCGAAAAAATCGATAATCGGAAAAATCGATAATCGAAAAATTTGCTTATAGAAGGAATGATCGCATTTCAACCAAATTTGACACCCACTTAGAGTCTACCATTAGAAGTGTTCTCCAGAAGTTTCATGACCACGGACCCCTAAACAGCGCGGAAAATCGATAAAACCCCAAAACCGATACGCCCAGATTGCGTCTGAACTGCATGTCGGTTTTTAGCGAAAACCGAGCGGATTTATGAAGAGGCCATTGGGAGTCATCAGGTGAAGTTTCAACTCTGAGCACCCCCCAGAGTGCAAATCGGTCAACCCTTAAGAATGTTTTTTCCGGTTTTTTAAGCTGATCGTATTGTGTTTATTTTCTTTAGTTCTTTTTTCGTAACAGATTTAATGTTTACTATAGAGCTTAGAAAAAGTTGGCAGTGTGATATAGGCAAGAAGTAAGGCATGTAGCAACATCAGCACGGCAAAAGGCACTCCTCTAAAGGCAAGGAAGGGCAAAAATATTTTAAGTCAATGATAGCGATTGCAGTATTAGTCGTACTATTTTTGAATCAAGCACGGGCAACGCCGGGCCATGCTGCTAGTGCATTTATAAAGTGAAAAGAGGATAGTGAATCAGTTGCTACGTCTGCTGGTAGAGAGGTAGTTTTACTGTGTCTCGCGAGACAATTTTTCGCACAAGAATCAGTTTTCCATATTTATAAGTCTACCATTCCTCCACGGATTGAATATTGTTGTTACATCTTGGCTGGTGCTTCTTCTACGTTTTTAGAGATCCTTGATAAAAGAAGACTCTGAAAATGTTATTGGTCTCGGTTACAATCACTTTCCCCAGCGCTAAAACATAGCTTCCTCATGGTCATTGTTCTAATGACCATTCTGCTTTGGTACCTAGACTCTGTGACTTTAAGCGTACTACTAGATTGGTGATAAGGTCTAATCATCTCGCAATTGAACTTGCTAGATGTAACCGTAGGTTCTATTTTGATATTTTCTTCTCTTGCACGTCTCGCTAGTAGGTGTCTCTTCCTGTCAAATTTTACCTTCAAAAATTAAAATACAGTGCCCTTCGTTATCTTATGTCAAGGACACATGGCACAGTGGATAAAGGCGTTAGATAGATCCAGTGACAGGACCCAAAGAGTGTGAGTTGAATACCCGGTTAAGATAGTGGAGAGCTTGGAGAGAAGAATTAACAGGAGATAGCTGATATTTGACATCCATTAAACACGGCACGTGGAATTAGAAGAGTTTACACCAGTGAGCGAAATAAAGGGTTAAGTTCGACATTCCAACCACCTGAAGAAGGCCGGAGCGTACAACTGCCGAAAAGTTGTAATAAATATGGCGACAAAGATGAGGACAATAGTCCGAATTATGTAAATAGTGTTAATTTTTGTTCTTTCATTTTTTCTCTCTCCTTAATAATGAGATTCTTTTCTTATATTCTCTGACGCTCAATAAATCCTTGTCTTAGTGGAACTCATGGGGTGATATGGTTTAAAATATATGAATTGACTTGTTTTAAACGATAGATGTTGGGTGGTTTCATGGCGTGTGCTTCTATAACTGGAGTCGAATTTGTTAGGTTTTAAAAAGAAGCTAAAAAAAAAAAAAGAAAAAGTCCTGTACATTCCCTGCCAGAACAGGTACCAGTTGACTTCGTACTTAAAAAGAACTCCAACAACATGCAGGAAAATTATCGAAATTTGCACTGCTGGTGGTATACGTATATCCATATCCGCCAAATAACACTTTCCAATCACGAAATCGAACACCTGTTGAATCTAGTGTGTAACGATACCAGAATCCTTGTGTGGGTGTACATATCCTGCTACGTTCAAGGGTGGTTATGACTGCGTCTATTTTTTGGGTGTGGCTGCACAGAAATTATTGGATGGAACACACAGACACACGCACATTCTCTCTCTCTCTCTCTCTCTCACACACACACACACACACAAACACACACACATATGTATATATAAAATTGTAAAATTGTAGCATTTTTTTAAAGTAAATGCTACAATTTTACAATTTTTTAAGCTCTGTTCTTTCTGGCATTTGTATATATATATATATATATATATATATATATCTTACTTATTATAAAACGCAGATTGTGTGTGTGTGTGTGTGTGTGTGTGTGTGTGTTTATATATTGTGTACGTTTATATATTGGATCGGATTTCCTACATTTTCAACCGATTTCAAAAAAACTTCCACAGGACTACGTGAAATTACCTTGCGGTGGTTCTAACAGCGCTAAATATTGGAAAAACACAAGTGTTTTTGCATGAAATCAATTTGAAAACACAATTAAGAGGCATCACGAGAATGAAAGGGGACAACTCATATTGAGTTATACTTATTATAAAAACCCAGGTTGTTTGTGTGTGTGTGTGCTCGTTTATACATGGGATCGGATTTCCTATTTTTTCAACTGATTTCAACAAAGCTTCACTTTTTTTTGGTAGGTAGTGTTTCTTATTGTC